AGAAATGCGAAGGGCCTACCTCGCTACCTAGTAGTGATAGGACGAACCAGGAGGAGCGAATGAAAAAGACCAGAATACAACGAGGTCTTCATTGAGATTAAATCGTCACCAGGGGTGATCTAGGTATTGTGCAGGGCCTAGGACGATGCCGAAGCAATAGCACGACAACCATAGCAGATGCAGACAAGCCCATCTGGCTCCCCCCGTTCGCCCTGACTCGTGGAAATCGCTTCGCGTTACTGCTTGTCGAGCGAGACATCAGCAGGCCCAGCTACTTGGCGGTCCTCTCGATCCGCCGAGTCCTACAGAAGAACCTCGACACTTACATAACGGGCAAGGGATAACTTTCTCACAGACCCTGATACTATGAGTGGAAAAAGACTCGAATACAGCTATGGCGAGGCATGTACTCCCTTCCAAATTACATTCCCAACCACCCAGAATGAGGACAACCTCTGTTGTCCACAGCGCAAAATCAAGCCTATAATGATATATACAATGCCAGGAGAGACCAAGCAACCCATTCCTTCACATACTGAAGCTGGAGGGTTGAGAAGGTTTCCAAAGCGAAATCCCCATGCTCTGGCTGGTTGTTCCGGTGCGTGATATTAAAATGCCGAATTTTGGTCGATTTCACGACACTACACCCCGACACAACCACGAGAAGAAGCCCCAGAATCTGCAACTTCCCTCAATTTGCATGACAAGGCCGGTTAAGTGATGAGAGAGTTACTCTCCACGTATTTCTATCAGCAACAATCATGAGAAAGCCGAATATACCAAGTACAGCTGGTACCTATAGTTGACCCTCAGACACACGTCAAGCTGGTTGAATCATCGACAGAGTGGAACGGGACAAGGCCAGTCATGCCGTGACAGCCCGACCTGAGATGACGATTACAGAGACCGAGTTTTCGCGGATGCCCTCCCATGGAGACGCGGAACAGAGCACCATGTCATGGCTCCACTGCTCCCAGGACGATATGAAGCAGGAACGAGCGTAGCCTAGACAGTACATTTGCTAGAGCTGTGCTGGTGCCCGTTCCTGCAACGGTTGCCTTGCCATAGACGAATGTCTATTTCATCGGAACTTGAAACACATGAAGCTGTAATGAAAAGTGGAGAGAAAGCACTTTTCCTTGACTTCTGAGATGTGCGCAGCTACTGTGAATAACCCTCCTTCTTCAGGAAATCAAAGCTGTCAACTGGGCAATCGTCGCGTCTCACATCCTGCTAGAACTGCAATCTAGGTAGTCCCTATCCTCAATTGGTCCAACCCAATCTGTGCATAGTTCGAGGGAAAGTCGTGGCTGCGATGAAGTTATGTCTAAGTATTGCAGTTGTGTAAACCGTAAGAATCAGAGGACATGCACACATACCATTCTGCACTCTTAAGATGGAAGAAGCCTGGAATGATGGACATAGAGGATACGTTGAGATTAAGAATCGGATATGTTTGTTGGAGGGTGGTAGTTGTTAGAAGGTAGAGAGCACTTGGTGTTAACCGAGCCTAGAGGTGTCTATCATACTACCGTACTTGAGCAGCTTCACTCTTGAAGGACCCAGATGTGGGGGACCTGGGACGGTCGCAGGGGATACTCCTCGAAGACACAAGTCAAGACAGCTACCGACCGTAACAAGGGCGGACATTGAGCTTACGGATTATGGAGATAGCCTACAACAGTCTACAAGAACACAGGTTGAACGAAATGATTCATGATTCAAGTTTTGTAGGATCAACTACATAAACCCAAGTCTAGTTCCGTAATTCCATATTTTGTAATCATGAAAACATCATCACAACATCATCACCCGTCAGAAACCAGCTTATTTCTTACCGGCCTTCTGGGCAGCCTTGGTGACCTTGCCGGAGCCACCCTCCTTCTTCTCAACAGCCTTGATGACACCGACAGCAACGGTCTGGCGCATGTCACGGACGGCGAAACGACCAAGGGGAGGGTACTCAGTGAAGGACTCAACACACATGGGCTTGGAGGGAATCATCTTGACGATGGCAGCATCACCAGACTTGATGAACTTGGGGGAAGACTCGACGGACTTTCCGGTACGGCGGTCAATCTTCTCCTGGAGCTCAGCGAACTTGCAGGCAATGTGGGCGGTGTGGCAGTCGAGGACGGGAGCGTAACCAGCACCGACCTGACCGGGGTGGTTGAGGACGATGACCTGAGCAGTGAAGCTCTCGCAACCCATGGGGGGGTCGTTCTTGGAGTCACCGGCAACGTTACCACGGCGAACCTCCTTGACGGAGACGTTCTTGACGTTGAAACCAACGTTGTCACCGGGGAGACCCTCCTTGAGCTGCTGGTGGTGCATCTCAACGGACTTGACTTCAGTGGTGACGTTGGCGGGAGCGAAGGTCACGACCATACCAGGGGTGATGACACCAGTCTCGACACGACCAACGGGCACAGTTCCAATACCGGAGATCTTGTAGACATCCTGGAGGGGAAGACGGAGGGGCTTGTTGGCGGGGCGGACAGGGGTCTCGATGGCGTCGATGGCCTCGAGAAGGGTCTTACCGGTGACCTCACCGGACTTGCCCTCCTTCTTCCATCCCTTGTACCAGGGGCAGTTGGGGGAAGGCTCGAGCATGTTGTCACCGTTGAAACCGGAGATGGGGACGAAGGGAACGGCCTTGGGGTTGTAGCCGACCTTCTTGATGAAGTTGGAGGTCTCCTTGACGATCTCGTTGTAACGGTCCTCGGACCACTTGCAGGTGTCCATCTTGTTGAGGGCAACAATGAGCTGACGGACACCGAGGGTGAAAGCGAGCAGAGCGTGCTCACGGGTCTGGCCATCCTTGGAGATACCAGCCTCGAATTCACCAGTACCGGAGGCAATGATGAGGATAGCGCAGTCAGCCTGGGAGGTACCAGTGATCATGTTCTTGATGAAGTCACGGTGACCGGGGGCATCTAGAATGGATGTTAGATGATGAAGGACGATGTGAACATAACACGAGGCAACTTACCAATGACGGTAACCTCATACTTGGCAGTCTGGAACTTCCAGAGAGCGATATCGATGGTGATACCACGCTCACGCTCGGACTTGAGCTTGTCAAGAACCCAAGCGTACTTGAAAGAACCCTTACCGAGCTCAGCGGCTTCCTTCTCGAACTTCTCGATGGTACGCTGGTCAATACCACCGCACTTGTAGATCAAGTGACCGGTAGTGGTGGACTTGCCGGAATCGACGTGGCCGATAACGACGATGTTGATGTGAGCGCGCTCGTCCTTACTGTAGATGAGAAACCGATGTTAGTCCAACTGTTCCTCGAGGCTAGAAGATGCTGACACCACCCGCTGTGGGGGGACAGCTCTGCTTTCTTGATAAGAAAGGCGAGGAGCGATGAAACTTACCCCATGGTGACGGTGTTGTGATATGAACTTTTGAAAAGGTTCTAGAAAATTGCTCAGATACTACGGCCACAAATGCGTAGAGGTGCTGAACAAGAGTCAGTAAGAGAGAAATGGAAGAAAGAAAGAAAGAGAAGGAGAGAGGAGAAGCGGAGGGGGGAAGATATACGTACTGAAGCGGACGAGGAGGGAAAGAAGAAAATTCTGTGGGAGGGGGAGGAGGGGAAATCCTTATATGGAGGGGTCAAGCGAGAGGGCGACTAAGCGGGCGGGCTGCAACCCTTGGCGAATAATGAGCGCCATTGGACATGGAGGGGTAACGTAGCCCCACCACTGCCTGTTGGATTCCAAGTGCGGGACCAGCGCAGAAAAATCTTCACTGTCTTGCTATTTTGGCTAGTCGAGACTAGAGACTCAGAGACTAGACTACTCTGTAACTACTACTGCACTGTACTCAGTCCTACGCTTGCAGCAACCCACATTCCCCTACCATGCCATCATAACTTGGTTCTGCTTCTCCCCTCTACCACTCGGATTCCCTACACTGGTCCCCACCCCATCAAAAGATTTTTTATTTTCATGCTTGGTTCCTCTTCCCTCTGAAACTCCCGATCTCTATCAGACTTTTGTAGACTAGTAGTCACTGTAGTCCTATACTCCGACCATTCCTCGGTACCCCCTGACAATTCGCCTCCCTCTTGATTACCTGGTGGGGAAGACTCGACCCCTCGGTTTGGACTGAAATTCTGGGCATCAACGCAGGGAGTGGGTTGCTGCTCGTCCGGCATGTTGGCCTTGTTTGCAACTGAACCCCGCGGCAGGTGGCAACGATGATTTGTCCATTCGAGGAGCAGCTGTGGCACGGCCGAGTGGCGCCCGCCCCGATCCACTGTGGATTTTTGGGATGTGCATCGTGAGGTCAACTTTCTCGCCGCCGCCGCCGAGAAAAAAAAAGAAACATAAAAAAGTCTGTGTTGCTATGACACCGACTTTCCCGTCACGCTGGTTGGTGTGTTTCATGAACTATTGCTGTATACCTTCTCCATTGAGTGGACGTGCAAAAAAAATAAAAAATAAAAAATAAAAAATAAAAAAATCAACATGTTATGATTTTGATAGACGACTGATCGCCTAGACTACCAACAGATTTTTTCTTCTTGTTTTTGCCGCCGCCCCTCATTTTGGGTGGACTTTTTTTTCTTTTTGTTTTTGCCATCGAGTTGTTGTTCACTGTGTGCCCCTCACCCAGGTGAATGGTCAGTTTCTGGCGGCTCTCTGCGCCTACGACGCATACTCTTCTTGCTTGGCCTTTACCCATTCGAGTCCCCGAGGGTTAAGGGGCGACAAAAATGACTCAAAAGTTTGGTAACGTATGAGAGCTGGACTCGACACCCACGAACAACAACAATCTGAAAGGAAGCTTACATTGGGTCGAACCAATTGAACCAATCCAAATCGGGGGATTATCTCCCCGTTGCTGGTCCAAAAGGTAAATTCAATAAGCAGTAAGCACCGGTTGGGAAGATTTTTTTTGGGTTCGGCGCTTGATCTGACAGACTAGCCTTTCCCTCTGCCTGAACTAGTCGACGTAGTGTTGTTTTAACTACATTGGAGCATCATGCGGTCAATCTTCTATTGAGGGGTATCTGTTTGAGCTAGATAGATCGTACATCATCGCAGGGCTCAAGGGCCCAAGGGGCACCATGAGCCCATGAGTACAGAGTCTTTGTGTCGAGGGACAAACCCCGTGCTTCTTTATAATATGAACGGCGCGCAAAACTCTAGTACAAAACCGAGAGGCATGGGACCGAGAGACACGACACGATTAATTTTCTCTCCATCTGGCGCCACACGTGGTACACTGGAATGTGATATCCGCTATCAGCAAGGCATGTCGGGCAGTATGCATACATCCGCATAAGAGCCGCGCGGAGGGGTAAAATTCCAATAAAGAAAAATAAAATCGTAAGACCAAAATCGGCACTTACCTTCAAGAATGTAGTCATCGGTTCATCTGCACTTCGAATCTGCAGCTGGAAGAAATATGCACGGTCGCCATTACAGTTCTCTGCGGGGCATTGGGCTGAAGGGAAGGCACAACAAGGTCAGCATCCTAGGTCTCTCCCAAGCTTCTTTTGTCTTTCTGCCTTCTCTCTTCGGACTGGCGGTGACGAGACACCGGCACCAAAAGGTAAAAGTGGCACAAAATGCGTATGGGCGACTTACTGGCCACACTATCTGCATTCGCAAATTCCTCCTTGCCGCCGAAGACATCCTCGACCTCTTTTTGCTTCATCGGTGTCTTCTCAAACCAACTCTGTTCCAGGACATATTGGTAGGGGCAGGTGCGGCATTCAAAGCGATTGACGCCAAGGGGATGTCTTGACGTTGGCTCTGCGCGAGAGATGGTGAGCGCATTGCTGCAGTTGGGACAGACTATCGGGACAGTCGGAGTCAGAAAGGCCCGCATAGAAAAACTCATAGCTATAGAAGGAGCGGCAATTTGCGCAAACAGAGGGACTCACAGGTCAATGGCATGATGAGCGGCTCCCTGGCTAGAAAAGTCCGTCAATTAGAGATGTCTAGTTGGTAGCAATGGTGTGGTCACGATAGCAAGTCTCTTCGCATAGTGTAGCCCTGCATAAAGGCAACTACAGGGGAAGCCAGTGCAGCTGTCACTGATACTCGCAGGTCAGGGTCGCATGCGATCTTCCCTAGTAGCGATAAAAGGCTTAGCTGCAGTGGGTGAGGCTCTTATCAGCCAGCGATGCCGTTGGGGCGGGCAAGATTGACCGCTACCGATTGGACGCGGGGCAGACCTGGAACCGGGTCGGATTAATGCCTGCCCCGATTAGCCCGCCCGCCGCCGCCGCCTTGAGAGAGCTGGCGGGGAATCAACAATAGGGAGGCATCAGTCATACACTCATCGAATCACAACTGAGCTCCCATTCACTGATCGGAATTGTAAGTGAGGCTGGCGCAGTCTATTCTTGTCCTCATGGCTGGACCGCTGTTCAGCAAGTCTAAATATAGGCTCTCCCCTCACACGCCTCGTGCTAAACCTCTAATGATGCTCTAGCTGTTCCTGACACCGCCTCCTGACTACTTCGCGGCTTCTCCGGCGACATATACAAGACAACTCCTCAGGGCAACAACTTCCCTTGAATTCTGTTGACCAGATCTTGCTTGCGCTTCATCGCCTTTCTCTCAATCTCATAATCAATCTCATATCAATACGCACGAATATATAATGGCGGACGAAGTGAGTGCCATGACACCTTTTCGGTCCTTCTACTTTGCTCATACTCATACCCCAAATCGCACAGGGCGCTTCCCCGCGTGAATTGGTCGTGGAGGCTTGTCGGCGCGACCAGCCTCACCTGATAGAACAGGTGCTAGATGGCATGAATGACAAGTCGAATGAAGAGGTGGCCGAGTTCTTCAATGGGGTGACGGATTCTATGGGAAACCATGCTCTTCACATCTGTGCCTCATACGGAAGCTGTCAGTTGTCCCTCTTCCGCGCCCTCCAAATCTGATTGATTTAATGAATAAGAAAGACATCCCATCTGACCTTGTACGATATATACAGATGATACGATGGACGCCCTCTTTGACATCCAATACTTCGAATGTGACCCCCTGACCCGCCTCGACAAAGATACGCCGCTTCACGTCGCAGTCCGCTATGCCAACGAGAAGGACGCCAAGCTGGGGCTGGAGATGATCAGGATGATGTGCGATGCCGGCTGCGATCCCCGGGTCCGGAATAAGCACGGCCAGAAGCCCACGGACCTCGTTTACAACAACCCCGAGATCAAGTCGGTCCTGCAGCAAGCAGAGTACGTGATGGCTGAGGGGCTCCGGGAGGATGCGGATAACGGCTCCGTGCACGACAGCGCTAGCGACAGCGAGTAAATATGCAACAGCGAAACGCCCAACTTTTATAGCGGTTTCCTTAATCATTATAGATATATGCGAGCGATGATCGGTTTTTGAGTTTCGGGATGCTTGGAAATGCATAGATCGTGCCACTGCATGACGGACTGCAGGGTTGATTTTGTGTGACGTGCAGGCAGTGAGTGCCGGTGCAGTCTTGAAGTCTGCATCTTATTATGCAGAAGCTTGATTTGGCCTTAAAATGAGGGTACACAATAGCAGCAATTCCACATCAACTTTTCAGACATATGACATAAACTAGGGTATCGTTCAGATGCAGGATTAGGAGGAAATGAGAACGCAGAACAACAATCCGTCAGACATAGTGCAGAATCAGTCGCTCTCTTCCGGGCCAGACTCCGATCGTCCACGCCGTCGGGTTGACCGTCTTCTCTCGACTCGCTCTCCCTGGCCCCTATCTCGTTCGTGGGCATTCTGGGCTGGCGTCTCTTGTGCACGGCGTTCAGGCGCCTGGAAGCCGAGGCTCCGCGCCAGACGTATCTCAAACTCCTCGTCGGGCTCTGCCGCATCCTGGCAGCCGTAGACCTCGCGAACCAGTGCAGCCACACCCTGAGCCCCAACCTCGATCTTCCCGCGCGGGCCCAATATATACTCGATCACCTCCTCTCCACCATCAACATCGCGATTGCGCACCAGGTAACCTTCTTTACAAAGCCGCTGAAGGAACCGGTCTGTGCGATCAACAGGTGTGTAGGTGTTGGTGTTCGTCCGTTGCAGATACCGATCCAGCTTCTGCTCCTGGATTGTGCCCCCATTCAACAATATCACGGCAATGATGAACGAGTACAGCGCCGTGTAAGTACTTTCCAACGGGGCCTTGCTGGGCCGCAGAATCTCCGGCCTGCGGTACTCTCTTGGCAAGAGACAGGTGAGAATCCACGACTTGTTCGATGAGTATGCTTTTTCGACCTTCTGGGCGGCTAAAAGTGCAAAATAATCCCCGACGAGTCAACAAATCCGCATCCGCAATCCTAAAGGGATTGATCCTTGCACAGTATGAAGAAAACTCACCTCGCCGCTGATTAACGGTGACCTTCTCCCTCGCCGGCAACTCCGTCATCTGCATCCCGAACTTCTCGCCCAGAACCCGCTGCGCTTCGTCGAAAACGGTCCGGAACTGGCGCGATCCCTGCTCACCCAGAACCTTGGCGCTGATATCGGTGCGGCGCAGCGGTTGGCGAGAGTACTCGCTAGCCAGCGCCAGTCGCACGAGCTTCTTGACCATCACGTCGATGCTGGTTGGGGCCAGGATGTCGTAGCTCTCGTCTGCGTAGCCTTCGGATGACGAAGAGTCGCGCCTCCGTCGGCGAGGGGCATTCTGTGTGGGGGCTGGGTTGCCGTGTTCCTCATCGCTTGGTTCGTTTTCTGGGACCTTTGATCGGTGTGTGTTATATCAGTGTTGTGGCTCTCTGGGGTTTTCTGACTCCGTCGGGCTTATCGGCAGGAAAATACATACCGCGCGGCGTTTGCGATTCGGAGGCATTTTGTCGCTGGAATCCAGCGGATATAGAGGTAGCTCTTTCTTACTCGTGGGAATGGGAGTTCGTAAGTGTCTTGTCAGTTTGTGATGAGAGAGGATGACACCACTTCTAGTCTTGAGTGGAGGAGGGGTTCTTTCTTCCTTGAGGCGGGGAGTGGTGTTTCTTTGTCCGATGGCGGACGCGCTCGACGCGCCAAGCCTTTTGTGAAACTAGACGTGATATTGCCTTTTTGGGTTATCACATGGTGATAAGACTTGTACTCCGTAGTTTACAATGCAATGCAATGCAAGTTATATTGACTTCTAACTTAGTCCGTGTTACCATCTAATTCAGCGATATGGAGGTAAGTTGTAAGCATTCTCTCCTATTACACACACAGGTTCCAAGTCCGGATTGTTGATCTCATTCGCAGGCAGTCGGTTTGTTGGGTAGTTCTTTGTTGAGACTACGTGTGGGAGAGGATACACTCGCCAAGCCTATACTATACCCAGCATGCCCTACGTTCTTTGTTGGTGATGGTTTGACAACTAGAACGACAAGAACTTTCTCGATGAACGGGATACATCATTGGAAGCCGCAAAGCGCAAAACGCAAAAAGAGAATCTCCCCGACTGGGAGTCGAACCCAGGTCTCCCGCGCTTGTTCCCAGCTGGGATTGACAAGCGGAAATCATGACCGTTAGACCATCGAGGAATTGATATGTATCGAAAATAATTTTACGTATTCTGTTCCTAAACAATGGCTGGTCTACAAGCCGTGATCATCTCTCGTCAGTCGCTGATCCTTCGACGAGTAGCTCATCTATTCTACTCATTTTCGTCTTTGGCAGACAGATCTTTGGCTAATGCCACTACCAAAGAGAGCATATTCAGATGGATAGTCGACGCCAATTTAGGCACAGTACTTCTTCTTGTATCGCTATGGAACTCAGGTCCAGCGAAATACTAGAGCCTTGGCTATACGATTGCCATCAGTTTTCTAGCAATAGTAGTACTCTGTTGCAGCGACTCAAGCCTATTGCTTCCTCAACATAGTATTTTCTTGCTTTGCTAGCTTTGCGACCTTCACGCTTACCGGTCTTTCCATGTCCCAACATCTGCCGGCCTGAGGTGAAATTGTCTAGATGACAAGCCCAGCCAGTCTGCGATATGCAGAGGGCGTGCACTCACCTCTAACCCAACTGCCTATCTTCAGTAGCCGCTATGCACCAGTGGCGAGCAGATGAAGGGGAAGCTCGTTCCCTCTTTTTCACGGATTTGCTGAGTGGAATGAAAAGTCTTTCATCGTTCCATGACTCCTGTCACGTAGGCAGATCCAACCCTTCACGACAAGCGCTACGCCTACCTCTTCGTCCGTGATAAACTGAACTGAGCATACCAGGCTTTACTGTCCATCCGGTAAAGCTCTAGTACTACTGGACCTCAGCGACGTTTCGGATAGGTCTTCCCATATACGTTTCCGTATGGAATCCACAGAGTTCTTGCCAGGTTCAACATGAAGTAGTATGATACAGAACAGATTCATAGCCACCTAGTCAACCTGCAATTTAGTGAGTAGGAAGGCCGACGAGCGAGCAAAGATCGTGGAACGCTATGCATGTAATCCCAGGAGTGGAAGAGCATCAAGATTCAGACGCTGTCGTCTCACCCTCACTATCTCGGCCTTCGTCTCCATCCCCTTGTCTTGCGTGTTCTCAGCTTTCGGCATTGGCTTGAGGTTTATGAGCCAACAGCAATGTACATGGCTGTTTGAGAACCATCTTGAGCCGAGGGCAGACCATCGCCCATCGACTAATCAAGTCACTATACCTAGGTAGCATACGATTGACTTTAGCCCTCTTCACAACTCTTCCCTCCATCACAGCCATCAACAATTTGTAATCTCATCCAATCATTCCCACAACCAACCATGTCAAGCGAGTGTTTCATTGCTAGCGAAAATGTTGTCCTAGCCTGGCACCTTTCAAGTCAGAACTTGGACAGCCGATGCAGCGACGGTCAATTAGCCCTAATTACCGCGCTAATATAATTATGATTTGTATTTATAGATATGTAAGCACATAGCAAGAAACATCCTCGATGGTCTAACGGTCATGATTTCCGCTTGTCAATCCTGAATAGGAACAAGCGCGGGAGACCTGGGTTCGACTCCCAGTCGGGGAGATCTTTTTTGGATTTTTCAGTTTCTGATACTTTCGCTTGGACTGGTACAATCAATGATTTTGCTCGCTCAGAATGAGACCCCAACAGGAATGACTGCTTGAGGAGTATCATGAACTCATTGTGATCGGTCCTTAGCTTGAATACAGCAGATCATTCCCCGGACCGTGCAGCCCTAATTTGTTGCGTCTTGATGAAACCCGTTAAGATGATCATGGCGTCTGCTCTCTGCGGGAAAATGAATGTCAACAGACTTCAATGGGCTTACGAGGCTGTGTGGTCTGCGAATCTACATTTCATCCCCACCTACTGTTTTGGCTACAATGAATCAGTTGCTGATTTATTTTTATCAGACCTTCCTCGAGGCAATGCCCACCCAAGCTGTGAATTCAGACTGACCGGAAAGTGCATGTTCGAGTCCTCTCCAACAAAGACGAAACAAACAAGCAAAGAGATCTTTGCTTGCCATTCATCTGCTTTTTGTGCTTGTGGTGAGGCTCATAAGCAGCTTTCTCTACCTACAGATGAATCCTGCCCAAAGCCCTTGATATCCTAGATCCCAACAAAGAGATAGATTGAGGAGAGATCCCTCGATGGTGATCTCCATGAAGTAAAGCAGCCTCAAAAGAAACAGAACAGTCTCATTATCTCCCCAGTCTCAAACTAGACGAAGCTTGGCTCGTAGATGCAGTGAAATCTCACAAGCAACCAATGGCACAAGCAATCTACGAATTGCCAAAGACATTTGTCAACGGTCCTCAAGATGAAAAACCCTCCTTTCCACCAAGACAAGAACCATATGCCAGCAGCACAACCTATAAAGTCGTTTCCCAGCACCAGGACAACAGTTACTCCCTCCACCATTAACCTTCATACAACGCATCGTCCCACATTTCAAACAATAAGGCGAGAGCTCCCCTGACGCACACTCTATCATCACCACCACCACCAGAACAACCACAAATGTCCCCTGCATTCTTCGACTTCACCCACATCCCCGCCAGCGGAGAAGACATACTCGCCCACGTCCTCCGCGTCGAACAACCCCAGGCGACGCCGCTGCCGCGCGAGTTTGCGCAGTGGGAAGACGCCCGGGACTTCGCGATCGTGCGGTTCGGTCCCTCCATCCCGGAGCACTTCGCCGCGCCCCTGTTGGAGCTTCAGATTATGCACCACATCTTCGTGCTACTCCGCCAACGCTCCCCGAAGAGCATGCCTATTTGCGGCCTCGTGCACACCCCCCAATATCTCCGAACCTACGTGGAGGCTAAGCCCTCCTCGAGGCACCGGGTTGTTACTCTGATTAATCTCTGCAAGGTTCAAACCCTGCACCACATTGGCGATGAGCAGACGATCGCCGATTTCGCGGAGATAATGCGCCGGCGTCACCTGGGGGTGGAGAATTATTACCTGCATCGATATCTTTTCCACGCTCCTCCGCCGCCGAGGGCGCGCAAGCTGCCTTTTTCGGTGGATCAGATTGAATGGATCTCAAGTAAGGTGGAGGGAGTGGCTCCAGAGGGGGAGGACGGAGGTTCTAGTATTGTGGAGGGTTGTGCTGACACCACCAACAATACCACTGGCTTAACCCCTGCGGCGAATCTGATTGAGTATATCTTAAGACCGGCTGAGGAGGAGGTAGGTTCTAGTATGGTGGGGGGATCCTGCTGACGCTATCAACACCACTAGCTTGACCTCTGCGGAGGAGAAGGCTAGAAGTCAGAGAGCGTGGTCTGTTTTGACTGAAGCGACTTTTCCTGCTGAGTAGGGTGGTTCTGTCCCTGGGTTTGAGGGTCCTCATGATTCGTGAAACTTCCTGGTAGGTATCCAGCTTGGCCCCACTGACTTGCTCGCTTGCTTGCTTGCTTGTTAGGAAGGCCATATTCGTGAGTTTTATGTGGACTGGTCATGATGCCGTCCGGTGGCGTAGCTTTTAACGCAATAAACAAGAAAAGAAGAAGGTGCTATCGATAAATAATGCAAAAGCTCTATGGGGCTTGATTTGAAAAGAATCGTTCTCTTTTTGCCTCATATAAATTCATCCCTGATTGAAACTGTGTATATAGTTATCCCCTTGCCGAATGGGGTTATTCCATGAGAATGCGGTCAGAGTAGTAAGTTTACCCCAGAGTAATCGACATAGTTGTCAAAGGAGCAATATACTTCTGTTCTGAAGCTTCTAATGTTTCTGAACATAGCTTGAGAATAGCCCAGGTCATTGGTAGTGGTCGAGAGTGGTCAACAGTCTCTAACTAGTTTTACTACTAAAGAAGCTCATGCTTACTCCATCAGAAACTGTGCTCATCGTCGACTCAAAAGTGAAGTACAGATATCTTGTCCCTGATGCGGTATCCTACCATCCATTCTACCCTGCATAGAAACACTGCCTCGTAACCAATGCTCGGGTACATGGCATCGAGTCCTCAATACTTGATACAAGCGTACTCCCTCTATGCAGGAAAGTATACATACAAGGGTAGGATCAGCCACGAGAGAAGTATCGGCTGCATTCCCCGACTCCCATATCACCCCCGCTTGTCCCGCAGACAGTAGCTAGCTTCCTCTAGTGCTCGAATATCTCCAACTGCAACTGCAACCACCAGAACCTTCAAGCATTCCGTCTCAGCTGTCATTCCCGGCACAATCTTCACCAGCGCCGCTGGTCACGCTGCTGCGTTGGCCACCGCGTCCGGATCCACTACCCTGCTCTTCGTTCTTACTCGTGTTCTCTTCCCCCACACAACACAATACTTCAGCATGCTTGCAAAAGAACAAGGTTACGAGCAAGCCAACAGTGCAGCATGAGTCCATTGTGCTGATTACCAACTTGTTGATCGAAAGCTTAAGCAAGCAAGACACGTTACATTTTACAAGAGCCTGCGAGCAAGCTGAAAATGAATGGCAACTATCACTTGCCCAGACAGTTAAATAGAATACCACACCCCCACCTCCCTCCCCCATATTTGCGCGGTGTAAAGCGTCTTTAGGAGTTCATCTTCGTTAAGCCCAATAAGGATGAAAGGACTTTCATCATCTGACTCGTCACTATCTACGGAGTATATCGAGTGTACCTGATGATTATCTTATTGTTTTCATGTCTTCTGCTCGAAATCGTCTCTTGATCCTTAACACGTCTGGGTTGATCTTGGTCTTTATGATCATGATCAGATTTTTTGTTTCTTTCTTTTTTTCTTTGTTCGACTTTGATGAATTATCTTCAATTTCAATCTCTGTCGAAGTACATAGATTGATGTATCTGTATCTAATAAGGAATGGAAATGTATCATGTGTTTTCTCTGAGATGACTGGGAAGTTGCTCAAAGCTACTCAGATATTGGTAACTTGTCTGTGTTATCTCTCGTGGGGCTCCCGTAGCCCTCTGAGGTGAGTGATAACTTCCAAATATTCAATCGAGGGTGGAAGTGCCAGTGGAATGGAGTTGTACTACTATGTACAGGCCTACTACTCTTCTATAATACATGTTCAGACAAGGCGGACATACTTTGGCATCATCCAACCTACCACAGAACACAGATTGAGCACTTCTTACCTTTTAAAAAAGTATATGAGTTATTAAAATTTAAATCTACCAAGAAAAATCCTCGATGGTCTAACGGTCATGATTTCCGCTTGTCAATCCTGAATAGGAACAAGCGCGGGAGACCTGGGTTCGACTCCCAGTCGGGGAGATTCCTTTTTTACTTCATTCACGGAGGATACCGACCATATATGCCTAGTCGAGCCCTTCAATCTCCTTGCTCGTCCATGTCACCCTGCTCAATGCTGGCAAAGGATATAGAATTTTCATTCACAAGATACACCTATCAGAAGCCTTACTCATGATGTGTATCCAAATCCAAGCTATAACTAACACCTTCACGCACATCCCACCGGAGCAGAGAGCGAACCCACCAATAGTTACACTAGACAGAGAAGTAGACAAATCACTAGACACGTACCGCGTACCACCAACGCAGCTAGAAGAAAGACACACAAGACAGCAGCAATGCTTTCTAGAAGGAAAAAGAAGAAGGCAAAGAAGAAGTCGCAAGGCGAGAAAGTGCAGACGTGCAGGCGACTCAAACACAAGACGCAGGATATTGCCTTGCGAGGTATCAATGATGGCGCATTGGGGTGACTATTGATCGGTCTTTTCATTCACAGCTTCCTTGACCTGGGCCTTCTTGGCCTGAAGCAGAGAGCTGAGATAGCCCAACGACTCTTGCGACAGGACAAGACTGGTGCTGATGACGGCCTTGCTCCCGGCCATCAAGCCGTCCCCGCCACATTTCTTGTACTCCGAATTCAATGTGTCGACCACATGGGCCTTGACATCGCCGGCGAAGCGCAATGGGAATGTGGCCCCGTCGCAGAGGGTCTCCTTGAGCTTCTCGGTGTCTTCCCGGATGACGGGGAAAGTTTCATCCACTTTCTTTAGGCCCTGGTCGCCGAGCGAGTCCACGCGGGCAACGTACGGGGCAATATAACCGTAGGGCTTAGAGAAGTAAGGGAGAAGCGGCTTGGCCAGGCGGCTGTAGCCCTGATCGGCGACCTCTAGGGACTTTGCGCCATACTTGTTTGTCTTGAACACGGTGATTGAATCTGCAACCACCGGATAAGATGTCAAGTGCTGATTACGGTTGGAAGGGTTGCGGTTAGACAAACAGCTTTTGAGTGAAGAGTGGACTCTGAGGCCAACTTACTTGCAGGAAGTGAGAATGGACTTTCTCTCCGTTAACAGAGTTCTCGCCCATTGTTCCGTTCTCCGCGTGAGGCATGGGAGTCTATACGCTCGAGACGGGGACATTAGTTCCGTGCTGTATAGCGGAGGGGGAGACGATGTGGTGTAGTTATGACAGCTTGGTATAGTATAGCGTGACAAACCTGTGAGCGGATGTGTAAGCAATGGATTCTCTTACCACACGATCTTAAGAATGATGAGGAGTTGGTGAGGGGAGGGAAGGGTGAGAATACGATGGAAAGAAAATCCGATTGAGAAGTTCGAGCGCAGCAGGAAAATAAAGGATTGAATGGAGGGGGAGAAGAGTTGAGTGGGGGTAGAAAGTGGAAGGAGGGAGAAAGGGAGGGGAGGGAGAGGGAGGAGGGAGGGTACCACCTAAAAGTATAGATAGAGCAGGTAGAGAGACTATCTGACAACAATCAAAAGCTGTCTCGAAGACGAGGTGAACCGCAGGGAAATGGAACTAAGGTCGTTCTACCACATGTTACTAGCTATCAAGAACTGCTGAAAATTAGTCGTAATTAGACCAAACTTTCTCTCAAAGAAGTAACAAGCAGTACAGCAAGAATAATTGATGGCTATTATTTTCATTTTGTTTCATTATTATTTTTTTTTGACCTGCATTGGAGCAGTTGGCAGCATGTGAAAGCGGGCCCAACCAAGAGCTCGATGGGAGATGGAAGGGCACCCAGTAGGATATAATCATGTAAGTCGAACTGCACGCAATAGGTAGGTCGTACGAGAAGCGAAGGGCCAGAAGGGCCAGAAGGGGGTGCATTTTTCGTCATTGAAGTATTTCCGTACACAGTACTGTAAAACTCCCAGGACAGACGACCAAGTGGAGTCGAGGCCATCACTTTTACCTGCAACGGGAGCCGCCGGGCGATAAGCACTGTTACAGTTGTATTGTCAATGTGGCAAGCTGTGGTTTCAATCTGTTCCAGCAGATCGTCCGACAAAGAACTCCCAGAGAGCAATTGGTACTCTCAAGAGGATTGGCGACTTGAATGCATTTTGGTTTCTTGGTGGGGGGGAAATGAAAAGTGATGATGAGGTTGATGATGAGGTTGATGATGATGATGATGTTGATGTTGATGATGATGATGATATGGATTGGTGAAAAGGATCGAATCAAGCCGATCAATGGGAGAATGGGATGATAGCATGTGATTGTGGGTCTCGGTCAACCACGGACTTACTTTTTGCCCACTGAATGTAGTACATCGAGTACATTCACTCCATCCACTCCATCCTACTACACACCATCGTTGCCAGAATGCTGCTAACCATCATTCACGCCATTTGCCTCATCGTCTTAAATTCAGGATGTATGCATTAATATCATTCCACCCAGGTCTTCACCCAGGTCTTTTACACGTGCACTCAGCATCCAAATTCCCTCTCCCTAGCCTGCCCCTGGACCTTCCTTGGTGGAGTTCCTTATCAGAGCGCGGCTACTGTCACAAGCAGGAAAATCCGACCGCAAACAAGGTGTCAAGCCGGGCCCGCATAAACATAATCCGGCCATGGTGTGCGATGCACTTCATTTACTCGCCGGTTAACATTCCGACCGAGATTGATCCATATTCCCCGTCCAGAAATTTGCGGACAGTTCTCCTTGGTCGATTGATCCACATTGCACAATCCTATTCCTGCCTGCGCCTGGACTCCCCAGACTTGGCAGGCGTTACCCAAAATTCTACCCGTCGCCCTGTATGGCCGAGAAAAGGGCCTGCGTGAGGAAGGTACCGGTCCTCGTACAGTAGTTCGGTGCGCTTGGTGGTCTAGGCGTGATGGCGCCGAGTCGACTCGGCTCAATGCGATGCATTATATTTTCACCCGTCTTGACAACGCCTAGATTAGTGCTGATTGCAGCCATGTCCCTCCTCCCTTCATCTATCGTGTCTTCGCGCCGCTTACTCAATGTTCTGGACTACGGTGGCGAATCTGTAGAGTTTAACCAGCAACATCACTAACTTTGGACGGATCAGTCCTCCTCAACAGGTCAGTGTGACCTGGCATTTTAGTTCCGTGTTATTTTGGGCCAAAAACGTCCTCATTCTGTACACCTCAACATACTGTATGCAGCTTTGCGGAAACGCCCACACTCCTACTCCCGCATGCCCTGGCGGATGTTGTATGATTCTGCAAGTTTTGCCGCTCGTGTACTGCAGATAATTGCAGAAGTCCCGCCTTTCCGAAAGCCTAGGGTTCGTGGGGGTGAACGCTTGAAGCACCGAACCTTTGAAGTGTGGATTGCTCTGCACAAGGGAGCTTGTCGCTGGTCCAACTCAACCTTCGCGGAGATCTCAAAGAGGCCCGAGACCAAGGAAACAGATTGTACCTTATCATGGGTGAAACTCCACCAGGGTTGATAATTCTCTAGGCATCGCGCGACGGGAAAAAGTGGTTGGGAGGGCGCATTACATCCTTCTACTATATCCAGGGCTACAGATGCCCCCTTCTGCAGCAGCAACGATATTGGTTGCTAGCTGGACACGTACTGAGCACGCCACATAAATGACGAGCTATACGCAGGCTAGACTCATTAACGGCCAATGGCTTCCATGTCGGGAGAGCGTCATGGACTGGGGGACGAAGGCGGGGTCTACAGGTAGTTTGTCTCTCTAGGCCGATCGTGGGGGTTATTTGTTGGTGACTTCGTAGAGCTTCGCTTTTACCCCAACATCAAACACTACGGGTTGGAATTGAACTCGCTTAGGAGATAGTAGAACGTCTGGACTCCAGAGGCGGGGTATGGGACGGCAAATGGGAGAAGCCGGGTCCCGACTAGCCCCGACAAAGTGCTAGGCGATTTGACCTGACAAGGATATTGCAGAGGAGTGACGGATGTCCGTAATGTTGTCGTCAATGTCGGGCGGCACAATTGTCGTTGATATCCTTAAAAGCAGGGGAATCGAGCGGATGGTGGACACTATCATAACACCAGATCGATGTGCTTTGAGAAGCAATAATGACAGGTCAATCGGTCAGTAGCCTGGTCACGAAACCGGCACAAATGCGAGAGAACAATTCATAACGAAGAAAAGAAATTGAATTTGTTCATATTTTCCATTTCATTTCGAGACGGACGCCGGATCTGAGTGGCTTCCCTCTTGTAAATAAGAAAATGGGCCAGGAACTGGACCTGTACATCGACGCGTTCCCATTCTTCCTCCAGCTATAGGTATATTTCACGTAATCCCAAGCTCATGAACTGGACGTCTTCGATGCTTTTCTTTTTCCCTTTGCCTCATCTAAGACCTTGCGCGCTCAAACGACAAAACGCCCCAATTATCCCGTTTAGAAACCTATAGCAACCGTCAGCAGGGGGCCCTACCAGAGTAACCAGCCGGGGTACGCCGGTGAAGGGCGGCAACGTACGCAGAGGAGTGAAGAACCAGCGGTTCTTGCCGCTGGTGTAGCGGTCCTCGAGAGCCTTCTTGACGTTCTTCTTGGCGTCCTCACGCTGGGAGACCTCCTTGAAGGTGTCGTTGGAGACGGCACCCTTGAGACCCTCGAGCTCGAGAGTGTAACGGGTGGGCATCAAGTGGTTGTAGTTGACGACCTTGATGAAGGGCTTGATCTTGCTGCGCTTCTCGACGGTCTTCTTACCCATGCGGCGGGTGACCTTGAGGGGGTAGCGCTCGATACCGGCGACGATAGCGTAGGCAAAGGGGTGCGCCTTGGAGCCAGTGTCGTTAGGCTGGACAATGACGACCTGTCAAATCGCAAAAAGACCCTCGTCAGCATACGTCCTGTGTGATCCAAGCTGAAAAAAACCATGTTCCTGTTCCTGATTCTATTTCTCGGTGTCGGGGGTGTCGTCCTCCTTTGCTCGTTCGACTCATTTTGTCTGGCGTCTTTTAAAGAATCCCATATAGTTCCACCTCGAAATCCCAGCTCTTTCGGATCTTCCCATGTCGCAGAACGAGTGATTCTCCCTTTCCAATTCCGGTTGTTCCCCTCGAGTATATAGGTTTTCCAGCGCCAGAAAAATTCAGAAGTAGATTGTTCGTCGTACCTTCTTACCGGCGTAACGGCCACGGGTGATGATGGCCACACGGCCCACTTTCATGACTATCGTAACATCCTGTCAGTTTTTCGATCGAAGACGAGAATAATAAAATCGAGGTAATGCGGCGTTTCACTAACACTTCATTGTGAAAGTCCCGGGGAGCGGCAGGTCGATGGGGTGGTTGTCGATGTGCTTCGGTCGAGTGAGTGAGGTTCTCCGCGTTCGACGGTCTATTTTTTTTTGAGTGAAGAGGGCTCAGGGCTTTGTGTGCCCGCATGGGATTGGTCACCTTACCGACTGATGGCTACTAGGCAGTTTTGGGAAGAGGATCCAAAAAGAGCTTAGCGCCCGAGGAACAACGACGAGACTTTTCGAAGTTGGAGCCTGAGAGCCTGAGGCTACATATTTGGAAATCTTGAGAAGGACCTGGGCTCAACGAGAATTGCGTCAGGCTGTCAGGCTGTGGTTTGCTCACCGCCTCCAATTCCCCAGCCACCCGCCCAAAACTAAACTAAAGTAGGCTTGGCTCTTTGTTTACGGGACAACCAGCCAGGCCACCGGTTGCTATGAGCCCATCACTCGATGTGTACGCCGCACATTGGACCGAATGCCACTGGATGCCCCATGAGCTACCAACTAGTCCTCCCCAGCCTTCAACTCCACTTCCATGGTCAGAACCGCCCGCTATAATAACTGTGCATTTTGCCCAGCTTCGCATCTTGCACCCCGCTCGACGCATTATCGCTGCTGCTGCTGCTGCTGTTATTATTGTTGTTGTTCTTGTTGTTGCTGTTGTTCCTTGCCGCCGTTATTTCCCCAGTTGCGCCCTCGTGCCCTTTCATTATAGCAAGCGCATTTCTGGCTTCAATCTCTTTCCTTGTCGTTCCTGCTTTGCTGATTCTTGCTCTTGTGGACGCTTCCTGTCCAAGATAACATTCCCAGTTGCTGCTGAAGTTGCGCGTTTTGACGATTTGCTATGCCTTCACGACCTTGATTTTGCGGCGCAGTTTCATGATCATAGTTCCTCCCAGACACACATTGCGGATATCCATTCATCGATCCACTTTTCCGCTCAGACATCGACAGACACACACGCCACCTGCTCCACCCCCCTTCCCCAGGAAATATCATTGAGAGCCTACCATGCCTTCACACTCTCGTCAGAATTCTCATGACCGAGAATTGGTGCTGAGACATCAGCCCGTGCCCATGTACGTGCCAACTTCCGTGCGCTGAAGTGGGGGGTCCTTGGATGAGCCCCCTTCCCCAGTTTCATCTTCCTCATAAAGTGCCAGATGACTGACCTTGGATTCGTGGAAACGAAGGTGGGACAGTTCGGATCCCGAACGGGCACCCCCTCCGCTACCCATGAACCCCAGTTCTACCAGCCCTGTGACCAGATCGAATGTCTCCCCAGGCATTCAAGCCGCAGCGGCCAATTTCGCAGAAAAGATTCGCGAAAATGCTCCCAGTCCATACACGACGAACCCCATGCCGCCTAAATCTCCAGAGAAGTCCCTCATTAAAGGCCAGTTCCACAGGCGCATGCAGTCCTTTCAGAATAACACAGATGCTCGTTCCGAGTTCCTCAACTACTTGGAGAACAGGTCACCGGAGCGACCCCAGCGGGCGTCAGTCCTGGAGCCTGGCCCCAAAATATACGAAAAGCCACCCGTAAATAAGACACCTACCTCGCCAGACTCGCGAGAGACTGACCGAGACATGCCTAATCTCCTCATTTCCAATCGCTACCTCTCCAGGCCGATCCTTGGGGAGAGTACTCCACCTTCGGCAACCATGTTGGCACTGCAAAACATGCAATTGCCCCTCGAGAACGAGGCGCCGCAGAAGCTTATTGAACCCGACCCGTTCGTTGGACCCAAGCGCCCTGACCCCTACAGCTTTCAGTCCTTAACGAGCCAGATCCACAGCCTCACCGATATCGCCAGTAACCTTCAGCGTGAGATGGCTCAGTTGAGTCGGCGCAGTAGAGACAACGCTACCGACCTTGTAAGTCTCAAGGCCGCAACCAACGCCCGAGATGAAGACATACGAAAAAGCCTCCGTGAGCTATCATCAAGCTTGGCTTCGAAGTTCCTTGATGCTGAAGCTGCCACAAGGTGGGATTTCAGTTCTCTCTTGGGTTCTGAGAATGGTATTAACAACAGGGAACCGGATAGTTCTCCGAACTCGAAGAAGAGCTACTCGGCACCGCGAATGTCTAGTCCGAATCCATTTGCCGCAGCGATGGAACGCGAACTGTGCGGGTCGCCCACACCAATATCCGATGGGTCTGCAAGCATCGCATTGCTGGAGAAAGTCTTGCGAGAGATGGCAACGAAAGAGAACCAGGATAAGCTCCTGCAGCTTACAGAGGAGATCAAAGCCCGGCCTGTCTCGGATGCGCCCGTTAAGCCAGATGACGGCGCCGTGACGACTATGCTAGAGGAGATCCTCAGTCTTATCAAGAATGAAGCGGAAAGCAAGGCTCTGGTCCGATCAAGTGCCCGCGCTATCGATGATCCTGAGAAGGAAATTGCCGAGTATAGTCTCGCTCGCTCAAGATCTATGGACACAGAAGACACAAATGGCAACCCAGAGCGTGCTCTCGTTCCCATCGAGGATCACCGTGCAGAGGAATTGCTCGCTATAATGAAGATCGTTAAGAACAGTGTCATTGAAGGCGGCGGCATGACCAATCAAGTCAAAGCTCTGGTACGAGAATTGCGCGGGGAGGTGCTCGGGATGGGTAGAGACTTGGCCCGCCAGATTGAAAATGCCCAGTCTTCTCGAGCGATTGAAGATAAGCCTAGTGGACTTGAGAAAGAGGAGGTTGCTGCCATTGTCGAAAATAGCCTGCGCGACCTTAGACAACAACTAGCCTCGATGATCGAAGAGAGCAAGCGCCATTCATCGTCACTTTCCGATGTTCGATCCGCAGTGAATGACGAAACGATATACTCCATTGTCAAGCAAGCCCTGGACGAGCTGGACCTCTCACACCTACGACCTGAGCCTCAGGGGCCCGCCCTAGAAAGAGACGATATTCTTGAAACAGTAAGAGAAGCATGGGAATCATACAAGCCCGAGATTGAACTACAGAATTTCGGCTTGGAGCGAGACGAGATCCTGGAGTGCCTCGCTGAGGGTCTGAAGGATTACAAGCCTCGCCACGAAGAGGCTGTTACCTATGATCAGGTCCTCACGGCTGTCCAAGCCGGTATGCAAAGTTTTGAACAACCGCCAAGCATCACGAAAGAGGAGATCGTGCAAACGATTCATGAATGCCTTGCGAACTTTGAAGCTCCAGCTCCTCTCCCTCTGGGACCTGAGCACCTCGATGGACTTCGCGAAGAGATACTGCAGGCAGTTACCGAGTCCGTTACCTCCCAGAGTGCCCTGACTAGAGAGTCTCTCGACTCAGGTCTAGGTCGCGATGAGGTCTTGAGTGCCTTATCAGAGGGCCTGGAAGCACACTTCTCTTCGGCTAAGGCTGCAGAGCAACCCCATATCACCAAACAAGATGTGATCGAAGTGGTCAACGAAGCCTTCGCTGCTCAGCAGACTGCTCTGAGCACGGATGTTCAACCGAGTATCACACGCGACGAGATTATTAATGCCATTGCGGAAGGAATGGAAAGTCAGAACGCCGTCACACGTGAGATTGAACTGAACCGCGATGACCTGATGGAAGCTATCTCGGCTGGCTTACAAGAAGCGAATGCTGCAAACCAGAATTCTGGTGATCAGATGCTCGAACAGCTTCAAGAGCACCTGGATGGCATGAAAGAAGAGCTAAGCCAACATCTTTCAACCAATGAGAGAGATACCGAGCAATTGCTCACTGCCATCAAGGATGGTATTGCTGTTGTGCGACAGGAGGTGGAAGGGTACGCTGCAACTGCAGCGGAGTCCTCTGCAAAGCATGAGATTATGGATACAGTCAAAGAAGGGTTCCGACTGTTGCAGGCTGATATGGAGAGGACCATAACGGAAACTGCTCTGTCCAACAGTTCTCGCAACCCAGATACCCCAGAGCTGCTTGACGCTATGGAGAAGGAGTTCGAACACCTTCGTCAGACGCTGAGCAACCTTCTCATTCGTAGCAACGTTTCCACCGAGAAGGATGAGATTCTTGACGCAATTCGCGACATCTCTGATCAGCAAAAGTCGTCGCACAACGATGAGTTAACCAAGATTATCAAGGAGCAAATTGAAGAGCTTCGCGACACAATGAACATGAGCCTTGTTCGCGCGGAACCGGCAGAGTCGGCAGAGCCCACCGAGAAGCACAGCGACAAAGATGATATCATCGCTGCGCTACGCGAAAGTCTTGAGACGTTCCGTGAGGAGGGCAGCCAATCCAAGGAGGCGGGTGATAATCTGCTTGCGGCCACCAGCGAAATTATCGATGCGGTCAACAATGGTGTGGGCACAATCAAAGAGGACCTTGCGAGACTCTTGGAGAAGCCAGTGGAATTCGATCATTCTGAGCTCCTAGAAACTCTCAAAGAAGGCCTCAGCAGTCTCAAGGCGGACGTTGAAATGCTGCGGCAATCTCATACCGAGAATCATGCAGCGGATGATGAGCCTGAAACAACTCGTGGAGGAGAATTGATGCTGGCTAGCGTTCCAAGCGAGCCGAGCAAGCCTGATGTCAGCAACGATTTCGAAGGACTAAAAACTCTCATCTCACAGCTCCAGACCAAGGTCGAGGCTATTGAAGGTGCTCCCAGGACCAGCGAGCTTCCCGAAGACATTGTCAAGAAGGAGCATCTCGATGAAGTCCTCCTTGGTCTGCACGAGCTCCAAAGCGCTGTGACGGGAATCGTTGCTCGCGATCAGCCCGCCGACGAAACCGTGGCTAAGAAGGAAGACACGGACGCCATAGAGACACTACTTCGAAACACCAAGTCTCAGCTAGATGAGATGAAGTTTCCTGCTGCCGATGACCTTGCCAAGGCAGAGCATCTACAAAACCTGGAGGCCATTGTGGCAGAGACTAAGGAGGCCATCGCGGACCTTTCTACTCGCTTTGAGTCAGAAGGCCCGACTAAGGCTGAGATTGGGACGCTTGAAACGCTCATGAAGGACATGTGGATTGCCCTTGACGAGCTGAAGGGCAAGGCAGCGCCCGAAGAGAGTGATGCTGAGAAACTGGTCAAGGCGGACTTGCAGACTGTCGAGGCCATGATTTTCGAGGTCAAGACTCAGGTTGAGGAACTCAAGCTGCCCGACATCGAGACACTGCCGACAAAGACGGAGATTCAAGATTTGACCGCATTGGTCACGGAATTCCGGGAAAAGGTTGATGCTGATAATGAGATGACTGGGCAGGCATTCGATGCACGGAAGGTGGAACATGCAGGTCTCGCGGAGAAGATCGAAGAGGCCAAGGCCCTAGTCGAGGGCCTCGGGGACGAACTTAGGAGCAAGCTGGATGGCAGTGACCAAGGACTCGCCGAGCTCAAACAACTACTTGAGGGTCTTGCAGTGTCCGCAGAGAGCTTCACCACCGTTGAGAATGTAAACGAACTCACTGAACTTATCAACCGGGAGTTTGAACGGGCGCGAGGTGAGCAGGATGCCACAAAGCTCGAGAAGGAAGAACGAGACGCTGCCGCCATGGTCAAGCAAGATGAGACTCGGGCCGCCATCATTGTCGAATTAGGTTCGAAGATTGATGAGAAGCTCGGTGAAGTCATGGCCAAGTACGACGAAGTCCATGCTGCCATGGACACTGCTTTGGACTCCAAGTTCTCTGAGGCTGCCGATCGCGACAATGCACACCTTGAGGCTGTGACGAGCACGAAGGCTCTGGCAGAGGATATTAAGCTTGTAATTGGATCCATGGGCAACAGTGTCACTGAAGCTTGCGAGCGCATGACTGTCGATGCCCAAACGTTCTTTGAGAAGGTTGACGAGTCCTATAATAAGATGGAGGAGATGCACAATCAGGTGAAGACGCAACAAGAGCAAGCGCGATCAGATCTCGAGAAAGCTGCTGCTGCCACAGATCGCGTGGAAAGCCAGCTGCATGAATTTCATCCCCAAGTGCTTGAATCAATCCAACAGATCCTCGCGATTGTGGGACAGCACTATGACCATTCTCAGAAGTCTGCGCAAGAAATCCGAATGGACCTCTCTACGATACCTTCGACAATCACCCCGCTGCTTCCGGCCCTACCGCCACCGGAGCCTGAGAAATATGACGACACCGCTGTCCAGGAGAAACTCAACGATCTCCTCGAGCATGCCAAGAATAGCCAGGTTCAAGAGACTTTGAGCACTTTGGTTGAACGTGTTACCAATGATCAAGTCCATGAAAAGCTGGATCAGCTCTTGGGCCAAACTACAAGTACCAATGGTCAAGTCTACGAGAAGCTCGAAGAGCTTCTTAGCCACGCTACGAACTCCAATGCGCCGGTCCATGAGAAGCTGGATACTCTGATTGACCATGCCACCAACACCGACCAATCAGTAAATCAGATGATGAAGCTCGATGAGATGCACAAGGACATCATGGCGACATCTCAACGAATGAACGAGATGTTCATGGCACAATCCGCTATGATCGCAGAGGACAATGAGCGACGGCGCAAGGAGGCGGAAGAGGCTGCAGTCGCTCTTGAGAGACGAAATGCACAGCGGGAGCAGGTGGAAGCCGAGATCGAAACCCTCCGCGAGGAGAAAGATTCTCTCTTGAATATCATCCACAGCCTCCAAGCTGAGAAGGATGATCTTCGGAAGCAGACCGCGAGACTGAATAAGGAGGTCGCTGGCTTGGAGATGGCTCTTGAGCTCCGCCACGAGGAGATGCAGCTCATGGAAGACCGCGCGGATAGCCTGGAGAAGCGGATCTTGGAAGGGGTGCTGGACCATGCTCGCAGCGTCCTTCTCAGCCGCCCCAACGGCCTGAATATGAAGAAGGCGCGTGGTGCACGAGGTCGAGGCCCGAGTGCTGCCAGCACGGCCAGCGCTGCCAAGGATGTCCGCAACTTTCTCGGCAGCAGTGTTGGCATAGCGTTGAAGAAGCGAGGCCCCGCTGGATCGCGGGCCGGATCGGGGGCGCCTTCCAGCAACAGCACGGATAGACGTATTCTCAGTCTCAGCAACGTGACGGGAAACCGAGGAGCTGGAGATCGGCGTGTAAGTGCTAGCAGTGGGTTAACGGGGCTCAAACGTAGCCATTCGGTCAAATCCAACTTCTCTCAGCGCAAAGCCTCGTGGGGCGGCAAGAGCTCCATCGCCAATAAGGAGAACGAAGCTTTCCCGGAAGAAGATGAAAACCAGAGCGAGGTCGAGAGCGACGCAGGGACCGAGCGAAGGACTAGCTACACCGGGACCTATGCGGACAGCATGGTATACGGACCCAGCAGTGTGGTCTCCGCCGCCGATCGACGGGTAAGCGCCGCTAGCTCAGTCGGCTCCCGGTCCGTTGCGGACGATCACCACCACGAAGAGGAGGAGAGTGAGGGATCGGTGGGGGAGAATGACGACCAGACCACGAGAGCAGATGACTCGGAGGAGTCGGACGAGGGAGAAGAAGTTGAGGAGGTTTACGATCACCCGCTCAAGTTGGATGAGCAGTCTTCGAAACTGGTGGTGTACGGCCAGCACAGTGACAGTGGCATTGGGCCCGAGGTCACAAGTGTTGGGGCATAGCGTTCCCGTGGCCTGAGACTTGTCTCCGATCTTTCTTTTGTACCCTGTTAAATTATGGAGAATCCACATCGCATGATGTTGGAATCTTGATGAGCATATACTGACTGACTAGTGTTATTAAACCCCATTCCAGCGCTTGTTGATAAGAACGCAGATGATGAAGATGATGATGATGTTGGACTGGTTTCCTTTGTAATGTGATTTTCTTTTGTGATGAAGCCTCATCGTGTGTGATAGTCCTGGCTGAATGAAACGAATACTCTTCACTTACTCCGTACACAGTTTAAGTAAACTAGTTATAATCATCACATGCTCTCTCCCTCCCCCATGGCTGAGTCATCCTCTCCCCAACAGAACCAGAATCGGACAAAGACAATAACAACAACGAGTAGTTGATGCATGCATGCATGCAATAAACATGTCCAGTATTCTGCACACTCTCCATCCAGCATACTCCTGAGGAGAACTGGTGATGGTTCCTTGCTTCTAGATTGATCTAGTTTAGACAGACCGACTAACTAAACCACTCACTAGTCACTTTAGTCTCCGTCTCCACCTCCGTCTCCCTTTCCCTCTTTTGTTCCTCCTCCTCCCCCCCTCATCTCTCCTCTTCCTTCTTCCTCTTCCCTTTCGCTTCCTTCGCACTATTGAGACTGTCTACCCCACCAACTATTCAGTTCGGGGAGTGGTCAATCACCGAAGATGTTGGACCCATTTCCCCCGCCGCCGGAATGGCTGCGTGAAGCTGTCGAGCCCTGGGCGATTTACCTGAACGTGCCGGCGGTGACGGAACATGCTCACGAGATCATCATTGCCTTCAGCGGCTACCTCTGCATCCACTACATCCTTTCTCCCTGGCTTTCGCCACGGCTATTCCCACGCCATTACCCCAACCTGAACCCTCGAACAAAGCTCAACTGGGATGTCCATGTCGTATCCCTGGTGCAGAGCACCTTCATCAACCTCATGGCCTTGTGGGCTATGTGGGCGGACGAGGAGCGGTCCTCGATGAATGCCGCCGAACGGGTGTACGGCTACACAGGCGTCTGTGGACTGGTCTCCGCCTTTGCGGCTGGCTACTTTGTCTATGATCTGATCGTCAGTACCGTTTACATCAAGATGTTTGGTATCGGAATGCTGTTCCACGCCATAAGTGCTCTCTGGGTGTTCAGCTTCGGCTTCGTAAGTGCATACCCCCCATCGCATTGTCAAAGCTGTAGAACCCCTCCGAGACTAACGCCTATGTTCTATCGCAGAGGCCTTTCGTGAACTTCTACTCCCCAGTCTTCATTCTCTACGAGCTCTCTAGCCCCTTCCTCAATATCCACTGGTTCCTTGACAAGGTCAACATGACTGGTAGCAAGCTGCAATGGTACAACGGCATGCTTCTTCTCTTCACCTTCTTCAGCTGCCGTCTCGTCTGGGGTACCTGGCAATCGGCGATTGTCTACAAGGACATGTGGTACGCGCTGAAGCAAACCTGGGATGCAACCGCCGCAGCCAACGCGCTCAACCAGTCCGTCGATATCACCACCCAGGTGTTTCGAAGCCGTGAGGCCGTTCTGGATGGAGCCCGCGCCCAGGCCCAGCTCGAACTCTCCAAGTATGCCAACTACACCGCCGCGGGTACCCCGACTTGGTTGGTTCTGACCTACATGATCTCCAACGTGGTGCTCAATTTCCTGAACTACTTCTGGTTCTCGAAAATGGTCGAGACTGTCTTGAAGCGATTCCGTGGGCCCGCTGCTGGCGCAAAGGAGAAGGGCTCGAAGGGAACCGCGACGGACCCCAAGAAGGAGGAGCAGCTCGACCGACTGCGGGAGGATATCGCTCAGAAGGTGGTCCTGGAAGCTGCCTCTAGGCTGGAGCAGGAGGAAGGCAGCCCCTTTTTGGAGGATGTATCCGAGGAGAAGCTCGCATCGGCCGTGGATGCAGGTCTTAATGAGGAACTGAGAAAGCGGAAAGCTCATGTGGCTGCATAGCGTGTCTTCCGAATCCTCCAGCCCAGTAGGATTCTATAACTTTCTCGATCGGCACAACCCATAAGTTCCAATTTCGAATCAGTGGTGTATTGAAGGTTTCCCATCTTCCCTAAGACCACACCAAAGGAGATGGGACAAGACAATACGTCGACCCAAGCCCCAATCCTCGCACCCATACTTATACAACCACACTTCAAGGGAAACCATTTACATTTATAGATTTCTTTTCCTCCAGGCCCTACAAATTCTTCAAGTTGTTGACCGCAGCTTTGACTTCCGTCTGCTGGCTCGCATTTCCTACTTACTAATCCTATGCTTCCATGCCTTTTTTCCAAGTCAGTCTGATCATTTGAGCGCAATGCCCCTGGTGTATCGAGGTTTGGTCCCATGTTCTTGTGTTCTCAGTTCATGCAAGACGGGAATGGGATGGTTACGGTGTTATGAGATCTGCCTTTTCTTTATTTTCTCTTATCGGCTCCGAAGTTCATGTCGTGTTACGTGATTCAAACAGAAGCTTTTATCCTCTATAGCTACCCTACCATCTTCCGGCCACCTTGATCCCGGGAGGTCCTTTTGGGTTCGGCCACCAACGCAAAGAGAGAACCAGAAACATTGTAATCAACGGGTTACCCGATACTCAATCAAAGTGTACATTCAGAGAAGGGTGCTGTAAACAGCAACCCCAGTCTGGAACGTTACACATACCGCAATAATAACCCCTAAGGCAAGACCTCGGAAAAGAAGAAATCGGATCATATCCAGTTTGACCTCGTATTATAAGAAACGAACCAGAGAAGAAAGAATACATCGCCGACAAGAAAGAAGCATCCCATTGATCCAAAGTCAAGCAACCCGTAGAAGCGCCACTCCCCGCATTTCCTCACTCCTAAGCCTAAATCATTTAAACAAAATTTGCTGCCCGAGCTTTCTTTGGTTGGCGGCCGGACTTGTTTTGAGCCTGCCGTGTGACCAGAGTTTCAGACCCCGAATTAGTATCGTTTCACCTGAAGAGGAGGAACCTGTTTTGATATTCCGGTTGACTGTTAGACTTTTAGACTCTTAGATATTCCAGTGCGGTTGGGGAGAGGTTCTCAGAGGAAATCCATGATATCAGAAAAGTACGTGAGTTATAAAGATTCGTGGTTTAACAGCATGCACAAACTCTTTGAATGTGTCTGAGTGAGCTGGGTAAACGAGGTGTTCATCATCGAAGTCAAGGTGGATCCTTGCGGGTTTGGGTGCGAGGGGTCGAGGTGATTCATCCAAGGAGAGAGTTGCTATACATACCACTTTGTGAAAAATTCATGATGAGGGAAAAAGCATTTATTGAACCCTCCCCATTGCCACCTCGGGCTTTGCAAGCATGTAGCGCACCGCCTCTCTCGCGACAGGGGTATCCCAGGCGCCGTCGGTGCCGCCTCTCCGGAACTCAGGCCCGCTGGCGTCCTCGCCGCCGCCTCTCGTGGCTTCGCCGAGAATCGTCTCGAGGTCTCGGCGCTGGCTGTTCACCCAGCGGCGGAGGAAGGTGGCGGGGTCCTTGCTCAGGGCCGTGAAGAAGGAGTGGCGGGCGCGCGAGTGCGTCAAGGCCTGCACGATGAGGGCGACCTGGTCGTCCAGCGTGGAGATCTGGCGCATGGCGGCCGTGTACTGCGGGTTCTGGGTGAGGGCGATCATCTTGGACCGCAGGGGGTCCTCGAGGGCGACCTGGATGTCGTAGACGGTTGGGGTCGGGTCGTTGTGGTAGTCGGCGTCGACGCGGATGGTGTAGGGGAGTTTGATGGGGTCAATGGGGCTGGTGTGCGGGCCGATGCTGTCGGGGATCTGGGGGAAGAACATTTGATCGCGACCGAAGATCTACAAGGATTGAGCTTCCGTTAGTATTCGGGATTATATATGCAAGACGGCCACGGAGAGAACTTACCGATCGTAGACGGTGGTCACAGCGTACTAGCCGCTTCTCTTCATCTTCCTGTAGCCCCATGGCGCGGATGTAGTCCCAGATACCGAGGACAATGCCACTGCGGGTTTCTTCCTCGACGTCCAGAACCTCCGCCAATTCCTTGCTCAGTTTGTACCGCTCGGGCGTCTCGTCGCGCACTAGACTGACCGTCACGTTGAGGTTCTCCTGCGACGCGCGGGAGAACTGGAGGGAATCGAAGTCCGCGGTGGGGGGAAGGGTAGCGGCGTTGGGTGGTAATTGCGGCTTGTTCCAGGTGATGGGTTTGACGTCCTCCGGGTTTGTCGTGGCCGGTCTATCGAAGTCGATCGTGATGGATTTGAAGAAATGCGAGAAGCGTTGCTGAGACCGCTTAGTTGAAGCCGCGGCCTTGGTCTTGGTCTTCGTGGCGCCTTGCCCATCCTGCTCCATCGCGTCGCCGTTGGCGTCGACTGAATCGTCTGCAGCAGCTGCAGCATCCTCCTCGTCGCTGTCCTCCGGCACCGTCGGGTCGCTATCATCATCCAGTAGACGCCCCTCGATGCGTACCTTGTACCGTCCGGAGCCGGGGTTAGTGGCACCGTTCTGGCCGGAGGCGTTCTGCCACGGTTGGTTCTCGACCGTGTTGGAGATCCAGATGCGCATGGTGCGGTATTTCTTGACGGTCTTACTGATGGAATCTTGAATATCGAGTCTCTTGCGCACGATGGCCGCGTCCAGGCGTTTCTCAAGATCGCGGAGGCTCTTGTACTGCTGCACGCCCTCGCCAATGACCACCTCTTCAATGCCCTCGGGGATGTTCTTGTCTGTGGGCTTGCGACTGCGTCGGAGCGCGGCCTCGTTAGCAGCATTGGCGGCCATCATGTTACGCTGTTGTATGGGGAGGAGCTGAGGAGGAACACCGTGCTGAGGCAGCGGAGCAGCCATTGGAACTATGCGAAGTCAGAATGCACATCAAATTTGGGCGATTGGAACTAAGTGGGGTTGGTTTTGTTCAGAAGAGACATGACAGGACGCACGAACCTGGGGCCTGAGGTCCGCGACGAGGCGTGGCAGGAGATCGTTGGGCGGCCTGCGGTGGGAACCCACGGCCGTAGTTTGGAGGGATCGGAGCGTTCATGGCGGGCGGCATGGATGATAACGAGGATGAGAGGGGATATGAAAGGGGAAAGAAAGGGCTGTGTGGGTGGCGCGGAAGCCCTGGGGCAATCAGAGGATGAGGACGCGCGGGCGAAATGGAGTGGGATTGGTACAACTGGGCCGGGGAGAGGAGGAAGTTGGAGATTCGGAGAGTGAGTCGCGATTCTTTCGCCCGCCGCGGTCACGCTTTACCGTTTTGGGACAGCCCAGCAACAGCCACCACCACTTTCGCCTGAACTACTTTAACAGACACGAGGTATTTGCAAGGCAATATCATTGCTCAAACATAACTATAAGCTTCTACCTGGGATTTACTCCAGCTGCGATGCTTGATTAGTGTACAGCTCCTCCACCACATTGCTCAGCTTCGCAATCGTCTCCAGAGCAGCATCATATGCCTGGTCACGTTCCGTCTCATCGAAAACAATCAGACAACCTGCTCCCTGATCTAAAACACCAATGATTACCTTATCCAAGATCATCTGTGAAAGCTTTCTCTCCACCTGCTGTGTATCCAGTCCTACCATCTTGGCAATGTGGTCAAGCTCGACTCGGCTAAAAGGCTCGATGACTTTGATAAGGTTCTGCTCCAACATGGCATCGTACAACCTGCGAAGGTGGTTGCGGATGAATGCATCACTACCCAATTCGAATCTGTAGTCCGACAGTGCCTTCTCATACTGTTCAAGAGATCGGTCCGCGTGAGCACGCGCCACGGCCTTCATGGCCTCCAACCGCGGACTAGCATACTTCTGAGCCTGCTTGGATCCCAGCAAGTTCGTGACATCATCCACCAGGTTCAACATGATCTTGCACAGCAACATGTACTGGAGAGCGGCGGTGGCCTTCTCGCTCTCGTCGAGAGAGCTGTATCCCTCGAGCGCCTCAATGAAGTACGAAAATGACGTGTTGAAGTCCTTGTCCTCCGCATGGAGCATACCGCTTTGCATATCCAGACCGGCTTGCAAGTTGGGAGGAGTGTAGACTGAGGCGGCTGACGTACGGGCAGCCGTCAAGGCAGCACGAGCCTTGGCCTGGTTGCCTAATGCATGGTAGACGCGCGACTCCAGCAGCTGTACCTCAACCAGCATGAGCTTGTCGTCCAAGCGCTTCAGCTCGCGGAGAAGAGAGTTGATGAGGGTGAGAGCATCGTAGTAGGTTTGTTTTTGCATGTAAATGGCCACAAGCCGAGTTTCGAGGTTCTGACGAAGGAATGATCTCCGCTCTGCGACGGCCCAATCAATGCAGGACTTGATAACGGCAACTTGGATATCGAGGGTGTTCGGAATCTCGCTGAACAAGTCCAGCAGCTGGCGGACTAATGAGATAAACGAGACTCGTCAGCTTTGCTTTCGCATATATTCAACATCGAAAGAACATTTCCTTACCCAGCTTAGCTGTCTTTGCCTTAGCAAATGAGGAGAAGGAGTCACGGCTGGCCTTGATCAATTCGGCGATCTCCTGCGGCTTCTTCTGGTCCCGGTAGAGCTCTCCTAGCGAGACCAGGGCATTTTCGTAATCACGCGACGAGGCCTCGGTGGAGCCAGTACCTTTCGCAAGGATCTCCTTTAGGGTGCTCTCAGCTTTGGCAGGGTCGGTCTTTGCGAGACCCCGGGCTTCCTCTATCCGCCCAGCAGTTGTCGGAGAGGGCGCCATAACTGAAGACGGTGCTGTGATAGGAGGAAGAGATAGGTCTGGGGTTTGTATTGACAAATTTGAAGTAGAAAAGACGTAGCTATCGGCGCAGGGTATAAGACGGGGCCAAAGAGCCGATAGAAGATGAGATGAGGAGGTATAGTGGACGATGGAGGAGGACAGGAAGCTTACAGGTTTGGCTATCGTCACTCGCCGTCCGAGCTGCAGCTGCCGCCCTCACCGCCCGCGGCTTGGCGAGCCAACCACAATCGGCGTTTACCCGCCGCCGATGGGAAAAAAAGTATCCCAGAAATTTTTATGTCCGACTTGAATCTCTCTTCTACAGTTTTCGGTCCAGAGTAAATCGTGAGAGCGCCATGGTGAGTATACCTGAAAAAATTACATACAAATATACAAATCACCAGTCGCACAATCGCTAATCTAGATCTCGCAGAAAATTAAAGCTCTGTCTCGTCCCACTTCCTCTCAGCAGGCTCCGGGCAGTGCTGTTGTTCGACAGCCTCGAAACCTCGACCCGGCACAGCATCCTTTCGAGCGCGCCCGAGAATACACTCGCGCTCTCAATGCAACCAAGCTAGAGCGTCTCTTTGCCGCGCCCTTCTTGGGCCAGCTGGGCGACGGTCATGTGGACGGTGTGTATACCATGGCCAAGGATCCGGGGTCCCTGGAAAGATTTGCGAGTGGTAGCGGTGATGGTGTGATCAAGGTGTGGGATTTGACTACGCAGGGGGAGGTCTGGGAGACTCAGGCGCATGACAACATTGTCAAGGGAGTATGCTGGACCCCGGACCGGAAGCTGCTTTCCTGCGCCAGTGACAAGACTGTCAAACTCTTCGACCCATACAACTCTTCGTCTGAGGCCCCGCCGCTAGCCACCTATCTCGGCCAGGGTGCATTCACCTCCGTCACGCATCACCGGGATCTCCCCCATTTCGCTGCCGCGTCGTCTCAGATTTCGATCTACGATCTCTCGCGCCCCTCGTCTACTCCTTCGCAGACCCTGCACTGGCCCACGAACGTTGACACCATCACCTCGGTTGCTTTCAACCAGACGGAAACCTCCATTCTTGGCTCCACGGGTATTGACCGCTCCATCATCATGTACGACCTCCGCACCTCGTCGCCGCTTACAAAGATGACCCTCCGTCTGGCATCAAACGCAATCTCCTGGAACCCGATGGAAGCGTTCAACTTTGCCGTGGCCAACGAGGATCACAACGTCTACCTGTTCGACATGCGGAAGATGGACCGCGCCTTGAACGTGCTCAAGGACCACGTTGCTGCCGTGATGGATGTGGACTTCAGCCCGACTGGCCAGGAACTGGTCACAGCCTCCTACGACAAGACGGTGCGCCTTTGGAACCGGGCCACCGGTCACTCTCGCGACATCTACCACACGCAGCGCATGCAACGGTGTGTTGGCACCATCCCTGATTACTCTTGAAACATCTTGCTAATCAGTTTCTTACAGTGTCTTCTCCGCGAAGTTCACCCCGGACAACAAGTACATCCTATCGGGCTCCGACGACGGCAACATCCGCTTGTGGCGCGCCAATGCATCCGATCGCAGTGGCATTAAGAGTGCCCGCCAGCGCACCAAGCTCGAGTACGACCAGGCCCTGATCCAGAGATACCAGCACATGCCCGAGATCAAGAGAATCAGACGCCAGCGCCACGTCCCCAAGCCGATCAAGAAGGCCCGCGAGATCAAGAGAGAGGAGCTGATGGCGATCAAGAGACGCGAGGAAAACGTCCGGAAACACACGAAGAAGGAGAATCTGAAGAAGAGAGAGAGCGAGCGCGAGAAGATGATCCTGGCCCGGGAGCAGTAGATGGGTTTCGTCACTCATCGCGCTTGCTCGTGGGGTCATTGCTCGGCTTGGAGGGTGTCTGGGCAGTCTTACGCTCTAAGTTGCACTCTGAGTGGAAGTCTGTCTTCATTATATACATATCGTGGTTTGTTCCACGTCTCTGCAATTCCCGTTTATGACCGTCTGATTCTTTATCATAAGATCAGTCTTTCTCTCCCGCAAGCGGCGTGGTTTGCTGTGGTTTCTCCGTCGACGGGGCTGCGGTAGTTGACGGTCTTGCCTGGGACGAGGTGGCTTGAGCCACGGCGTTGTCGATCCCACTCAGATACCGCGCGATCCGTTGCAGGCCTACAGGCATCACAGCATACCAATTGACCAGCATCGCAAACGTGGGCAGTCGAATCACCGCGCCTCTCCCGCTGTCGATGGCCGAAACGATCTCCTGCGCAACGTGGACCGGCTCGAGGACGGGGGCAAAGAAGCGGCTGGGGGTTTTGACCGACTGGAAAAGCGGCGTGGAAATCTGTCCGGGCTCCACCAGAATCATCTTCACCTTGTCATCATCGCCCGACGCCCGGAGCTCCGCCTCCAGCGTGCGATGCACGGCGCTCAGCCCGGCCTTGCTCGCCGAGTAGTCCGCCAGTCCCGCCGCACACAGCTGGCCCAGCACCGAACTGACGGTGACGATGGTCCCGCCCGTGGCAGCGGACAGCATGCGCGGCAGAAAGACCTGGTAGGCGTGGAAAGCCGCGAGCAAATTGGTCCGGATGGTTTTCTGGAACGCTTCCGCGGAGAGTTCGCGAAGCGATTGACCGTTGATTCGAGCGGCCGCACACTGAACCAGCACCGTCGGTGTTCCCAACTAGAAAAAAAAAAAAAGAAAAAAACAGATCTTTAGCACAATCTCTTTTTGTCCCTGTTCCAGACATTCAAAAAGCGTAGTCCACAAAACCCATCTCGACATGATGTAGCCCCCACTCTCCATCACCCTCAACCACACTCCCAGACAGCAAGAACAACCATTCCACCCCATCTCATCCAGCCAGCCAGCAAAAAGAAAAGTTTGACATACCTCAACTTCCACCCTCCTAACAACCTCTTCCAAGGCCCCCCGATCTCCAACATCACACCGATAATACACCACTCCATCCCCCTCCTCCCCCTGGTCCTCCCTCCCCTTCTTCTCCCCCTCATCAGGCACATTGACATCCAAAACCGCAACCTCTACCCCCCTCATTGCATAAATCCTCGCAATCAACAAGCCCAACCCACTCGCCCCGCCCGTCACAACCACGACCTCCTCGCTCAGATCCACGCGCCGGGGCAGCCCGTACGCGACGCGCCGGTTCACACTCCCCAAAACGGTCAGAGCGGAGAGCACCGTGGCGTACCCCGTGGCAAGCAGGAAGGGCGGCGCCGTGTAGGGCGTGGCTTGGGCGCGGAGACAGAGCACGAGGATCCAAGCGATGAAGGGGTGGAAGAGCGTGCGGGCGAGGACGGCTAGGAGGAGATCGAGGGTTATGGGCATTGTGCTTTTGTGGTCATTAGGAGTCGTGGTGCATGAGGGGGGAAAGGGGGGTGGTGGTTTACGGGTTGTGGTGAGGATGCGGGGGGATGGTGGTGGTGGTTGGTTGGGCATCTCTTTGCTTGGGGGATTGATGAGATGGTAGGCGAAGTAGTGGTGGCTGGGGTTTGCTGAGTAGGTAGAGCTCGTCGGCGCATACGTTGCTAGCGCTGGGTGTTCATAGTTGCTGAAGGAAAGCGCGAGAGAAAAGTGATGGATGGGGATAACTGTAGATGGAAGCGCCGAGCGCTTGCGCTCGGAGAAGCTTGATTGGTAGGTTAGCGTTCGAGCGCTGATCTGTGAGTTGGGTCGTCACATTTACCTGAGTAGATTGAAAGTAAGATGATAATAATCGCTACGACTGGTTGCGACAGGAGCAATTGCCCAGAAGTATTGCAGCAAGCTCGGAGGATGAAAGTTGGAGAAAGCTTTTAGTAGTTAGTAGTTGCGGTCGGGAAGTTCGAGGTTAGGAGATGTACAGTACATAAACGCAGACAGAAAGTGGGCTGGTGGGGCTGCTCTACGGGGTTCATCATTGTCAAGACTGTGAATTCTACATACAAGACAAGCTTGATTCTACTATCTACATACAAGGCATTCGAATACGCTATTGAGAATAAGTTTCTGTTATCAGTGAGTGTTCGTCATAGCCGAGGTTTTTCACAGCAGACAGACAGACAGACAGAAAGACAGACGGGCAGGCCGACCTTGTCAACCCCCCCCACTCGAGAATATACATTGCGCGGTACTTCGATCACCCCCACCAGCTTACACCAACCATGCCACCACCGACCCTGACACCGGTATCGATCATCGAAAATGTCCGTCTACCAGAGTCCGAGTCGGTCTCAACATGGGACATTTCGATTGACAACAACCGAGGCATCATCACCTCGATCACTCCGCATCAAGGCCAGTCCGATACCGCAGGTTCCCGCGCACCTCTGGCCCTCCCCGCATTGACGCACCCGCACATTCACCTCGACAAGGCATACATCCATAACGCCCGCGAGTATGCCCATCTCCTCCCTTTTAATGGTTCATTCGCCGAAGCCTTATCCTCCACCACCCAAGCAAAATGCCAGTTCACCCATACTGACCTCCTGAAGCGCGGGGAATGGCTCCTCGCCGGATCCGTCGCCGCAGGCGTTACGGCCATGCGGGCGTTTGTGGAAGTGGACCAGGCGGTCGGATTCACTTGTCTGGACGCCGGGATCACACTCAGGGAGACCTGGAAGGACGCCTGCACGATCCAGCTCGTGAGCTTCGCACAAGATCCCATATTCTCCGGTCAGCATGGCGAGGAGACGCGACAGCTGATGGAAGACGCAATCAAACGGCCGCAGGTGGATGTAATTGGTACAACACCGTATGTGGAGGTGACCGCCGAAGCTGCGAAGCGAAATATTGTATGGGCGATTGACCGCGGCTTGCAATATGATAAGCACGTTGATTTTCACCTGGACTACAATCTCGACCCTGTGACAGAGGCCCTTGTCTGGTTTGTTCTGCGGACGCTCAAGGAAAAGGGTTGGTCGGCCCGGTCAACGCACAAACGCGTCATGCTAGGACACTGCACGCGGCTCACCCTGCTTAGCAGAGAGGAGTGGACGAGGCTAGCAAAAGAAATCAAGGACAACGATCTTCCTGTTAGCTTCGTGGGGCTGCCCACAAGCGATCTCTATATGGCGGCTCCTCCGCCCCGAGACGACACAAACAACCCCCGAGGGACCTTGCCGGTGATGGAGATGATAAACAAGCATGAGTTGGACGCTGTGATCGGAATCAATAACGTTGGCAATGCATTTACGCCCTGGGGAACCGAGGACCCGCTGTCGTTGGCTTGCTTAGGAGTGGGAATTTATCAGGCCGGAACCAAGGCAAATGCAGAACTTCTGTACGAATGTGTCTCCACACGCGCTCGTGCAGCGATTGGACTAGCACCACCTCATACTGGTCTTTCTTTGAGGTGCGGAAGCCGTGCGGATTTCCTGCTGTTCCACGAAGTCGATGAATCAGGCTGTGGCGTGGTGAGGCCCCGGCATGGTGTCGCAGGCATTGTTTGGGACCCGCCGGCGAAGATGAGCCGGGTCGTAATCGTAGGTGGACGGCGGAATGTTTCCTCGCCTTCCTTTGGACACCCCCGAGACGTGTCATCTGATGCACTGAAGACCTCGCAAGAACTTTATACCTTGCTTCAACAATAGTAACAAGAGGTTCTAGCGGGAAGCGTAGATACTCATCAATGAAAACTCGATCATCGGAAGTTGGGTTGCTTGAAGTGAGTTGCACTCTATTCCCAAGGCCACAATCCAAAGTAGGAGTAGTTCTAGATAATCTATCACATCATGTTGATCGTACACTCATAAGCTCGAAGGAGCGAAGCTAATGAATGCTATACTGAGGTGATCCACTTTCACGATCCCCAGACCGGCACGCTCTGTTTCATCTGGGCACGAATTCGAGCAGGGCCATGCAATGAGTAGCTAAAAGTCGGACAAGCAGGATCCTCACTGAGGATGTCTAAGTCATCCAGACCGATCGGCAGCTGAAAGCCGTTGCCTGCGCGTGGATATAAACGATGTTCTTGGAACTCATACTCGGATTCGTCATCAGAAGACTCTTCGTATCTTCTTCGGGAAGATGAGACATCCGGTGCAGGCGCAGCTGGTGCGTTTGCTGGTACTTCCGTGGACGTGGGAGCCACTGCCCCCAGCCCGTTAGTCTGCGGGACGGGTCTCTGGACGGAGGTAGAAGCATTCACAGTTGACAAGCCAGGGAAGAATGAGAAATTCGACGAATGGTAGTCCTTTAGATTCGTGGGGAACATTGGCAGACTCGGACTACTCTCCGATATATTCAAAAGAAGCTCGACAAGCGTTGCATGCGATAAGCCCGACAGAAACCCTCGCCGTTCTTCGACTGAGTAGCCGGCCGCACCCACTTCAGCACGGGGTACTTTTAAGGAAGCCGTCGGCATAGGAATTGAACGTGCTTTCGTGAGGGATGGATTGCTCCTGACGACTGTTGGCTGGACGATGGTTATCGGAACCGGCTTGCACTCGCCACAAAACCACTCCTTCTCCTTGACTGCAACAACTTCTACGCTGATGGGAGGATCATGGCATAGTTGGTGCCAAGCCCCATTGCATTCATCGCAGAACACAATCGCATTGCTTAGAGGGCTATGTCCCCTTTGGCAGCGGGTACAAGTGACGTTCACATCCTTTGCTTTGCGTTGAACGCGCTTACGCTTCCGGCTTGCTGCCGTGGAGCCACGCGTATTGTCTGAGGTCTCGAGGGAATTGCTGTTCTCCTTGACAGCAGCTGGCAGCGAAGGTGGAGGCACATACAAGGAGGGCCGGTTCACCTGTCGGCCAGACTTCGTCTGTGTGGCTGTCGGCGCGACATCGGATTCGTCGCTGCTGGAGTCGCCAGCTCGAATGACGCTGTCATCGTCACTGTCCTTATTCCGGCGACGCTTTTTGTTCTTAGATCCGTTCGTGATACTCTTTCTATTACGGGAGCCCCCTGTCGTGGGCTTCTTGGGTTTAGATGTCGAGCTTGCTATTGCTGTGTTCGAGAGCTTATCCGCCGAGGCAATGGTTTGCTGAGGCTGTGATGGTGGTAAAGACACTACCGCCGGTTGCGGTGCTGCTGCTGGTCGCGGCGCTAATACAGGACCAGGATTATTTGATGATACTATAGTCGAGCCATTTGTTGATACACTTGAAGGTACTGCTGCTGGTTTTGGTGCAATACTGACCAGGCCTCCAGTAATGTGCACAGGAGCTTCTCGGGTGACAGTACTTGGGAAGGGCGCAGGTGGCACCACAGTGGTGGAATGCGTGAACGGAGCGGTGGGCAGTTCAATAATAGTCGACGAAGCCCTCATGATGCCTGTCCGCAAACCATTCGCATTGCCTCCAACGAGTTGATTTCCACCTGGAGGAGTCCAACTGATGAAATTATTATCATATCTCTGCTGTGTTCCCTTCAGGCTCCCGGTGACTCGCGCGAGTAACTCGGTCGTGGCTGCTGAGAGCCGCGGTATCTCCACCTTCCTCGACGGCGTGCTCGACGATCGGGTCGTATTCGACGACGATTGAGCAGTCGATGAACTGATGCTGGGCTGGAGTGAGGAAGCTGATGCATGCGAACCCGAAGTGGTGGTGCGCAGAAGTCCATGGGTGGGTGGCGCTGTTTCTATAGACGCCAGCGAGGCAGAAACCCCATTTTGCTGTGACATGTCCCCCCAAGTCTACCCTGTTGAGCACACTGACCCTTCAGCAACAAGGTGCACATCAACAAGCTCGAGATTGATTTATCGCTGCTACGGGTAGAACAGGAGAAGATTACCATGAACGGATCCAGATTTATATAACATCACGTGATCACTTGGAATCCATCCCCGCGCCCTTGGAAGGCGAGACTGACTGCTTTCGTTGCCAGTCCATACTTGGTGATGCGATTCTGACAATGGATCCATCAATCAAGTCCCTGAACAGCTCTGAACTGGTATTAACTGGCCTACCAAGATTCTCTCTTTATGCTCAATCGTCGATAAGCGACATCTCACTGCGGCACCCTACAGCTGCACAAAAACTAACTGTGTTCTCGGCACAGATGTGAAACCTGCTTACGGACCACACGCTCTAATTGACTAACGTCCGCCCATCCCCTTCTTAGGGTAGTCCACCGCTGCCACACGAGGCCACGTCTTGAGCAAGGACTTCTATGCCACGACTCCTTCCTGCTTCAACTGAGCTATCGTTTCCGTGTCATACTCGAGTACCTCGGTCAGGATCTCATCGGTGTGCTGACCTAGGGTCGGAGGTGGCGTGCGCACACCAGGAGTTGCATGGGAATATTTGATCGGTGTGTTGACCAACTTGATAGGACCACAGGCCGGATGGTCGATCTCGGTGACCATGCCACGCGCTTGGACTATATCTTAGGGTTAGAAGTGTTCTGGGAGGAGAACACAATGGTTGGGAGCAAATGGCCTCACCATGAGCATGATTTAGTGTTCCTTGAATGTCATTCACTGCGGCATATGGCATCCCGCTCCCCTCCAATATCTCCAGCCATTCTTGCGTCGTCTTCTGCCTCACCCTTTCCTGGATCAACCCATCAATTTCCTCCCGATGTTCCACTCGGTCGCTATTGGTGACAAACCGGGGATCGGTCTTCCATTCCGAACAACCCAGTCGGTCGCATAACACACCAAACAATCTGTCGTTTCCACCGCCGAAGAGGATGTCACCGTCTCGCGTCTTGTAACTTCGGTAGGGCACAATAGATGCTGGCGAATAGATCAGTAAACATGCACATACTAGATGTCACCGCGCCTCGATCACTCACGGTGTGCCGTTCCCCAGCGGCCCGAATCCTTCTTCCCGCTGATCAAAGCCGAGCTCGCAATGTTTGCCAGCGTCGCGACCTGGCAATCGCTCAAACATGCATCAATATGTTGCCCCTTTCCCGTGCGCGCCCGGGCGAGCAATGCCGCCATTATGGCATTGGACGTATAAAGACCCGTGGTCAAATCCGTCACAGCGACCCCAACCTTGACCGGCTCCCCTTCCCTACTACCGGTAATATGCATCAGACCCATCTCCGCCTCGACCATGACGTCGTAGCCGGCGCGGTCGCTGTATGGCCCGGTTTGGCCATACCCCGTGATACTGGCGTAGATCAGTTTGGGATTGATGGCTCGCAGGGTCTCGTAGTCCATGTTGTATTTCTTAAGGCTGCCAGGCAAGTAGTTCTCCACCAGCACGTCGCATTCCTTTGCGAGACGGTGTAGAATCTTTACTCCCGATTTATGGGCAAAGGATAGGCCGAGAGATCTCTTGTTGCGGTTTACCTGAGCCGATGTTAGATGCTCCATGATCTAGGAATCCTTGCTAAGGGGTATCCTTACTCCCAGGTAGTAAGCGCTTTCTCCGGGGCCTTCTGATCCGTCGGTGTACTGGGCATATGGCGGTCCCCAAGCACGAGTGTCGTCACCGCGCGTAGGGTGTTCTATTTTGATGACATCCGCTCTGCATGAAGCGGAGAGGGTATCAGCTCAGTATGCGACATAGACCATTGATTGCAAGGGTAACATACCCCAGGTCACCAAGGATCTGTGTACAGTATGGCTGCATGCGATGTCAACAACAGCTCGTGGCCAATCAATTATGAGACACTCACACCAGCCAAAACTCTCGTCATGTCCAGGACCCTGATTCCTTTCAAGGGAAGTGTGTCCTCCGAAAGCGCGGAGGAGTAATTGCGCCATGAGCGATTGCTCTTGGAGAGAGGGAGGTATGTATGGCTAACCGGCCGGCACGCGATCAAGGTCCGCGGCAACCTTGAGGAGAATGCAGTGCTCATGTCGCAATGTCAAGATGGTAAAATCAATAAAATACAAAAATGGCCTCTGGTCCAAGCAAGTGAAAGTAATCAGATGTCTTTGCAAACAGAGCTAAATAAGAACAAAGAACCGAACAGCCCAACCTACCATCGGCAGCCATCACCGAGCGGGCGGCGGCGCGGGAACGACCCCCAAGCCAAGCCGAGGTCAACCCGCTTTCCCGCTCGACTTTCTCTCTGATCATCAACCCGCTCGATCCCGCCCGCCGGCTTCGGTCTGTTGTTTTGATTCCGCCTCCTGCTGCATATTTCTTCCCACCATGTTTACTGGGCTTGTTGAGAAGATTGGGAGTCAGTACCACCCTCAATCTCCTGTATCTTCTCTTGTTGGTCCTTGCATACTGACCATGGGCGCACCTTCACGTTCTTAGCGGTCTCGTCCCTCGAGCCCCTCGATACCTCGTCAAGCGGGGGCGGGGGTACTTCGCTGACCATCACCGATTGCGAGGAGATCCTCGTTGATGCGCATCTCGGTGATAGCATCGCTGTCAATGGTATATACCACCTCCGCTTTACAATCGCAACACAAGAGTGGATTTATCTCTTCTCTCGAGTGTCTTCCCTCCGTTCTGTCTAGTCGCATTTTCCTTCCATCCCCGCCGAACCTTTTTGATTTACCAGCAACTCCCCGCGCCCCCATGCAAATGTAACCACCACTCACCCAACGACTCCAACAGGAACCTGCCTCACAGTCACAGCCTTCGACAAGACCTGGTTCAAAGTCGGCGTCGCCCCAGAGACCCTCCGCCGCACGAACCTCGGCAGTCTGCAGACGGGCTCGAAGGTGAACCTGGAGCGCGCGGTGCTCGGCGAGACGCGGATGGGCGGCCACTTCGTGCAGGGCCACGTCGACACGATTGCGCAGATCCTCTCCGTCACGCCGGACAGCAACGCCCTGGTGTTCCGCTTCCAGCCGCGCGACCAGGGCGTCATGCGGTACATCGTGGAGAAAGGCTACGTCACGCTGGACGGCGCCAGCCTGACGGTCACCAAGGTCGTGGACGGCGCGGAGGGGTTCTTCGAGGTCATGCTCATCGCGTACACCCAGGAGAAGATCGTGACGGCCGCCAAGAAGCCCGGCGATTATGTGAATGTCGAGATCGATATCGTGGGCAAGTATGTGGAGAAGAGCGTGCAGGCGTACTTTGCTGGTTCGGCCTCTGCGGGTGGGGATTTCAGCGTGCTGGAGAAGATGGTGTCTCGGATTGTGGATGAGAAGTTGAAGCGGTGATTTTTCGATCATCACTGGAAAGCAAGGAACAACAAAAAAAGCGAAAAACAACCAATGATTCAGTTGACCTATGACGGTAATGAGTTTACGTAGTTTCATGATTGAGATATATATGATACTGATACAGTATTGCTTCAGTACTGCTTTACTTTGTCCATGGCTCTTGCTGCATGTGCAACCAGAAATCGTGGGTATAATTTGCAAACTCCTAACAAACCATAGGATACATAACTTTTCCTCTTCCATCTAACATGTAATCGGCCTGATGCCTGATGCACGGGGTGGGTTTCCGTCAGCTCGTCCATTCCTCCTTCACACCGGGCGTATATCTCACGCGCCGTATAGCAGTTGACATCTCACAAACATCATGTTCTCAACGCGCCCATGTGCATTGGGCGTAAGTATGAATCAAGTTGATTGCATGAGGTCATTGGCATGTCGCAGATAATTTGAGAGCTATCCAGCATGATGATTGTGAGGGTCTGGAGTAGACCGGTAAGCCTAAGGAGCGCTGTGGGACAGCCGCTAATCGTAATGGCTTGACGACTTGAAGCACATTGTATCATATGGCGGGGTGATCTACTCATCCATGGACTCGTCGCCGTCCTCATCTTCTCCCTCCTCTTCCTCTTCCTCGTCCTCCTCTTCCTCATCTTCATCCTCGTCCTGTACCACATTCTCATCGTCCTCATCGAAATCGTCGCTGAGCCATTCATCGTCGCTCATGTCAATATCCTCGTCATCATCCTCCACTTCCTGTCCGTTGGCCTTGGCTTTAGCCTTCTCGGCCTTCTTCTTCTCAATGTTCTCCCTCTGTTGCTTCTTTCTCTCCTCCTTCTCCTTCTTTCTCTTCTCCCAATTCTTGTCCAGGCTCTTGACTTCCTCCTCGGACTTTGTAATGAAGTCGTGCCACATCACTCTGCCCTCGCACAAGCCCTCCTCAACCTTTTGCAACCGAAGCTTCATGCGCGGGCCCAGCTCTACCAACTTGACCGCCCGCTTCTCGACGCCGGGAGCATTGCTCATCTTCTTCTGTGCCTTCTCCTTGTCGCCCGCCTTCATGCGCTGCAATTCGCGTTTGTTGAGAACCTTGCGGGTGGTGCTCTCCGCGATCTCGACCTCCGCATCCGTGTCCAATTCGGTCTCACTGGCGGAAGTGTAGCCCGCCGCCGAGGGGTCGAGCAGGTAATCTGCCGCGTCCTCCAGCTTTCCCAGATTAGGCACGGCAGTCTTCTTCTTCTCTTTGTTCCGGATCTCCTTGGGGTCGAGACGACGGATGCGCTTCGAGATACCGGTCTTCTTCGTCGTAATGGCGTAGTGTCTGAGGTTGAGGACGTATGAGTCTTCCTCTTCGCCCTCGGCGGCGAGTTCGCGGTTCAAGAGCATGACACGACGGATGGAGGTGAGCGGGGTGGCTTGAGGGTTGATGGGAGGGAAGAGCGACTGGAAGATCGTCGTGGTCAGGCTCTCTAAACGCTTCGGTACCTTGGAGTTCTCGTCTGCGTTGGGGGAATTGAAGTTGTTCATGACGAGCAGCGGGGGCGTCTTGTGGTCCTGGCCACCACCACGCGGGCGCTTCAACGACTTCTCGACATCACGGCACAGCGAGTAGTTCTCCACCTTGAAATGCAGGGTCGGCCCTCGGGGCGTGAGCGCCAAGCGCAGGTTTGTGTTTCCAGTGGCAGACTTGGAGAAAAGGAGAAGATGCGTCACACCCAGCGGACCGGTCATTGTCGTAAAGTCGCGCAGTCTATTGGATTTGCGTTCCTGTGGGAATTAGAAAGGTCAGAATTTACAAGACAGTTTCCCCGGTGATTGACTCGGAGCTTGCATGCACACAAGTCTCCGAATGTATTCTCTTACCTTCAATCGCACAGCCGTATCAGGCTCAAGCATCGTGCGCACATCCTTGACCAGCTGACTGACACTAGAACCGACCTGCGTAGCACCGACACGAATGACCATCGATTTGGGGGTTTTGCTCATAGATGAGGCGCCGCCCTTGGCTGCGGCCGTGGCGTTTGTCGCGCGAACATGAGTGCGCTTCTTAGTGCGTGCCTTTGCCATAATGAGCAAAAAACTTGTGTATGAATATTCTGGGGGAAAGTATTGCTATGGATGGAATCTTTGCGTCCCCGATGTACGGACTCGAAGCAGGACTTTTTCTTTTGACCCGCAGAAAAACTAAAGGCGGAGCAAAGCCGCGGAGGAGCCCGGATCAATGATCTTGCGGCATCTTCGAGATTGCGAAGTACCTTAATTGTTCTTGCCTCAGTTGTTCGATGCATTACATTTTTTATTCTGTCAGGTATACCTCCTCAATCAAGGATCAACCAAAGTCTCTGCGGTGGCGGTTCTTATTACTTGAGACAGTGTAATGCTTAGCGTAGACGCATCGCTTTTTAGTGGACAATCACGTATGACGAGAAAATCGACGGAGTTTACAGAGACAGGGAAACATCGTGGAATTCATCGTGACGCGAAATAATAAGGTAATCTTAGACATAGATGCCCATGTTGGTGTCCTTCTTCTTCGCCTGTACTTCCGAAATGGCATCGACGTAGTTCTCGTGTCCCACCTTACTCATGCCCTTACGAAGAGCGATCATACCAGCCTCCACACAGACAGCCTTCAGCTGCGCACCTCCGAACTCGTCGGTACTGCGAGCCAATTCCGCCCAGTTGACGCCGTCATCTACAGCCATCTTGCGGGAGTGAATCTGTAGAATGTTGGCGCGAGCCTCCTCATTGGGGAGAGGAAACTCGATCTTGCGGTCCAAACGACCGGAACGGAGCAGGGCGGGATCCAACACGTCAATGCGATTTGTAGCTGCGAGAACCTTGATACGATCGTCGGAGGCGAAACCGTCAAGCTGGTTGAGAAGCTCCAACATAGTTCGTTGCACTTCACGATCACCAGACTTCTCAGAATCGAAGCGCTTGGTACCAACCGCATCCAGTTCGTCAATGAAGATGATCGAGGGAGCCTTCTCCTTTGCGAGGGCAAAGCAGTCGCGAACAAGCTTAGCACCGTCACCAATAAACATCTGGACCAGTTGAGGACCGGCAAGCTTCAAGAATGTGGCGTTCGTCTCTGCAGCACAGGCACGGGCGAGGAGGGTTTTACCGGTACCGGGAGGGCCGTACATCAAAGCACCTAAAGTAAACTAGGTTAGTATGGGGTAAAGTCCAGACAACCTGAATTTCAGATACTGCACATACCCTTCGGCGCCTTGATACCAAGCTTCTTGAATCGATCAGCTTCCTTCATTGGCCAGACAATCGCCTCGACGATTTCCTCGATCTGCTTATCCAAGCCACCAATGTCTGTGTACTTCTCCGTCGGCTTCTCATCAACCTCCATGGCCTTGACGCGGTTGTCATACTCGGCCGGCAGCGTATCCAAAACGAGGTATGAATCTTTGTTGACACCAATGAGGTCGCCGGGCTTGAGCTTCTCGTGATCCACGAGACCGATCAACGGGAGGTAGATAGTCTGACGGGTCGAGGTCTTGATGACAGCGGATTTCCCGACTCGGGTAGCATCGAGATCGATATTGGCTCCTTCCTCAGCAGCTTCAGCCTCGACATCGAGATCCAGAAGCTCAACGACGTTTCCAACAAGATAGGGTAGTTGCCTGAATGACAATTTATAGTTAGTAAGAAAGCTTGGACAGAGAGCTGCGATCACCACTAAGCGGCGCACACATGGGCAATACCAGTGGCGTCATGAGATGCAACATACCGGTTGTTCTCGATCTTCTCTTGGTTGTCCTTGACCTTCTCCCTCATCGTGTTCTGTTCGTGTGTCAAACGCTGGTATTCGCTTTTCATTATACGCAGTTCGTTTTCCAGCATTCGCCGCCTCTTGACGATATCCGCTGTGCTGGAGGAGAGAATCTCCTCGTCAATAAGGTCGTCTTCCTCATCCTTCTTCTTCGCATCAGCGTCGTTCATCTCAGCATCTCCGTCGCCTTCGGGCTTTCGACCGTCGCCATCGCCCTGATCCTTCTTCTTCTCTCTCTGTTCACGCTCAAGGTCGTCAAGATCTTCCAAGGTGGACATAGTGGCAGGATTATGTGAAAATTATAAGCGTAGAAAGAGACTTGGGTTCAAAGTCAACCTGATAAAATATGTGGGAAGAAACAGGGGAAAGGGAAAGTCGGAATGGAGAGATGGGGAACTGAGAGCTGCGTTGGAGCCGGCTTGCTCTGAGCTTCGGCCAAACAACGTCAGCCGTCTTATTCATGTCACGTGATTGCATTACAAATGTTCTGGCCTGCGGCTGCGATGTAGCTATGTATCATTACTGCTAACGCTATCAGGTAGTGCAGACTCCTGCTAAATACATAATAAAAGGCAGCTGATCTTTGCTCTTTGCAGACGGTCTATATCAACATGTTCGGATTGTCAGTCTTGGATCCCAAACTTAGGTTCCAGTTTCCAAGGTTGTCGAGGATACGCTCCCGGCCATATTTCAGGAGGCGATACCGGGACAGAAAATCATCGTTATTGACTATCCACAGTTAGTGCATGAAGCTAGATCGTGGGTATAAGATGACGAAACCAGTCATCAAGGAAAGAACACTTACTGTAGCCCCCGCACATCCTGCGCTTTCCGGTGAAATCTGAACGTCCGTGGAGCATTCTCCAATTATCGAATACTTGATATCAGTCAGCTAGGGCATCACGACCCATGTGAATTGCTGCTTAATACTTACTAAGAGCTGTTCCCGGTTCGAGTTTCGTCCAGATTTGGTGTTGCGGGCTTGTGATGATCGCATTCCAGTTCCGCGCTGCACTGTACCACTGTTTCACACTCTTGAGGCCCCAGTTCGTTTTTGTGGCCCTGTCATAATTGTTCCAACGGATGCGGTACATCACGTCTAATTGAGGGTGCACCTCAAAAACGGGAAATTCGTGTATAGGCTGTATACAAAAATTCTCGTTGCCACTGGCATGGGCAGGCTGACTGTAGCGCTGCAAGGCGGCATACTGCGCCTTAGCCTTCGTTCGCAGAGCCTCGGCTGCTCGAAAACCATCAACCAGTAAGCTATCACCTCCTTTGCCGCCGGTATGGGATAGAAGATGGAACAGTTGGAGTCTTGCGGGTTCCGTAAAGTATGTGGTATCAGTATGTGCATCAAGGGCGCGGTTGGTATATGCCGAATCCCCAAAACTCATATCAGCGGTGAAATCCCAGAAACCCCCTGTATGACATCAGTACAATAGCGACACGAAAAAATCCACTGTAAAGCACACAGCATGGCTTCGTACCATAGTGCGTCCGTCTCACGAAAGCGATTCTCTCGAGAAGCTTTTCGGTAGCCTCAAGCGACACGGGAACCCCTACGACAAAACAAAAACCGTAGATATACTGTCCAGAATATGTGAGTTACTAGGTCTGAGACGGAGATGCGAGACTCACAATGTTATCAAGCCAATGCAATAGGGCCATATCATCGTTCATAACGTCCTTGAAAAACGCCGTAGGGTATGGCCCTTTTCCCGTATACGAGTGGAAGGGCCTGAAGAAAAAAAATAGTCAGTCGCTAAGCGTGCACCTCATCCTTGACTGTATACAGTACCTGGGTTTGAGTGTATGGCTGTTTGGGAACTTCGCTCCTTCCAAGCCTTTGACAGGAATGCTTTTAAGCCAACTATAAGAATAGACGCCCGTATGTCCATCCGAGACTAGCTATATTTCAGCCTCAGTGTGATTGAACAAGTAATGGATACGTTCTTACATTCGACCTGGAGGCTTTCTGGTTCATGTTTGGTATGTTGAACCTTGATATCCTCAGGAATCTAGACAAAAAGGAAAGCGAAAGTGACATTAGCAGAGTATCTTGCATGGTCAAGGTTTGTTCATGTACCTTGAAAGTGTCTACTTCCCGCTGTCTGGTCTGGGGATCGCAACATGTTTTGCACTGACAATTGTCTCTATCAAGAGGAACATTCACACGATGAGTTTCGATCCTACGGGCACTGGTTGTAGAGCGACCTACCGTAACCACATTGGTCCACTTGAAGTGACTGTTAGCTCTTTCAGTTTTTAAACGTGCGGTAGGCGTTTGTGAGCAAATCGTACTATTTTTGGAAAATACCCTTTTCGAGTCTCTGATTCTGTTCGCTGACCTTTGGAGGTTGCTGCGCCGAATTATGATGCTCCTCAGGCTTGACTAATTGATTGATTGCGTCAGTTTGCAATTGCTTCGTCCTATTTCGTCCTACCTATAGACGCCGGAACTTAAGGTGTATTACCGTTTCCTACAAAATGCGACCTTTTGCTCTAAAAGCAAGACAATCAGCTTGAATGAGCTCTGACAGGCACAGGCCATAGCCAAGTAGATATAGTAAGAAGCGCACCGAAACAGCATAGCCCCCTCTAGAGCAAGCAACAGCACTTCTTGTCCTATATCAATCATTAGCCTCCTCGTGACAGTGCAGATAATGATATATACCTGAAACGGCTTGAATGGACAACTGTCTGGGCGAAAAAACGCCCTCCTATAGCACACATATTCGCGTCTGTAGTACCAAACTTGCGAGCAGATGATTGATCCCCACACAGGGTGTTGGAGAACTCAAATATGTACACAGTATTCCGCATGCCCGCGAGGATGAATGAACGCCCCGATGTCCTTGATCACGTGAAAATGTCTAGCCGGAAGCCGAGGCAGATTGCACCCCACAGATCAGCCCACTGTAACTACTGCGGAGTAGCCGGGTCATTCTTGATCGATTTCCATGCTCAACAGTTTTCACTACATGTATCAATTGGCAATATGATGGCTTAGACTAGAAGTATCTCAGGACGATACACAATCGCAGAAATCTTGCGATCACAGCTTGGTCTGCGAGTCTTTGGCTTTCAATAAACAACGACCATTGCTAAGCACGGCCTTGCCCTGGTCGTTCCTCACAACAAAACGAATCTCTTCATCGCCACCTTCCAACCTTCCCATCCGCCATATCTCAGTAGTCAGCTTGTCGCCGGGCTTTACCGGAGAGGCAAAGCGCGCTTGGAACTCTCTGAGTCTGTCCGGATCGCTCTGGCCCATCTCTTTCAGGACGCCATGAGCTGCAGAGTTCCAGCTGAATAATCCGTGGATGATGGTACCACCAAAGCCCATTTTAGAACCTGGTTCGGGTGTCGCATGGAGAGGGTTATAATCACCATTGAGACTGTTCAGCGCGTTAGGCTTCCTTCATCTAAATTTGCAGACGTATTCAGAGGCCATACCGATACAAGAGAGCCGTTTCAGGCGTGGTCTGGATCACATGCGTGGCATCAGGAGTTTTACCCTCCGGAGGGGGGTAATTCACCGTGCTTGGACCTATAGCAAAAGTATGTCAGGGGCGCTTTGCACCGTGTAATCTAAGATTAAACGACAACTTACCCTTGGGGCCACCCCAGCCACCCTGTCCGACGAAGAAGCTGCTGCTGAAGATCTTGGTATAAATCTCACCAGTGGTCTGGTCCACAATTGACTGTTCGGTCTCAAGCACCGTCCCAGCCTTGCCCTTATCGTAGAGTCCAATGACCTTGTTACGCAGTTCAAATTTTCGACCTGCACTGGACGTTGGAAGGGGCTTCAGAACGACAATTCTTCTCTGACCATCCACTACGCGACGATAGTCGAGCTTAGGAGCCCCAGGAATCGGCGCACCGCCTGCCCGAGCATAGAAGTCGATTACTTCCTGATCGGTGAGCTTAAATGCTGTGAACATAGAAATATCATCAGGGCCTATTTATTTGGCAATTTGGATCGGCTCGCACATACGAAGGATAACTGGGTAGGTTGGATAGACCGCGAATCTAGGATGGAGTTCCTGCACCGCGGCTTATTTAGCATCCATGCCAAAGTGGCCATATGCAAGCGTGGGGATCATACGTAAAGAAAATGTAATTCATCAGCTGTGCATCCAATGCTGTTGGCAAATAAGAGAACATCGCGTTTCTGCCAGGAAACCTCCTTGGGCGCAAACTCATGACCAGCCCCAGGTTCAGACATCTGAGCGTTCGACAATGTAGGCAATTGGCTGGGTATGGTTGTGTTGTGGGCAAAAGGCGCAGAACTAGTAGTAATTGTATTTTGTTTCTTGTTGCGAGCTCAAAGGGTATAGCAGATAGATGATGCGGAACTACTCAGACCTTGTCAATCAGGAGCGTCTTAGAGGACATGCCTTTGAACCCCAGACAGAACCAGTTACAGTACATTGCGGGGCCGCAAACAAGCCGAGGCTAATCTGACTTGGACCGAGAGCGCCACACCGCTTGTATGGAGACATCGTTCAGTGCAGGCTTCGAATGTACAATACAAGGATATTTCTGGACCGAATATTATGTTCAAAGGAAACACAATACATGGCCATAACTGTCGATATATTTTCAGTCATGGACAGCCAGAGAATTGCGCAGAAAACTGCGGAGTAGAACCAAAGCTGAGCAATTTTCAAAGAGATCGTCAGAGATGATAAGATTGAGCATCGACTCGGGGTATCTACTTGGGTAATTCGAGGAGCTTCATAATCGTCCTTGTGGAAAACCATCTCTCCGTGTCGCGCCAAACAATGATGCCGTTTCCTGCCTTCCAATAAAACGCCGGAACATAACGGAAACGAAATGGCATAAACAAACAAAGCAAGTCAAGAAAACTTATTCATCGACCCAACATCATGCAAATGTACTTCCCTTCAAGTGCCATGCTACCCACGGGTAAATAACTTCAACTTTGTTGACAGAATCATAAACAAAGGACTCGGTCAAAGCCATAACTGTACCGACCCAATTACGGGTCATTTTGCTCAAGAGCATTCAGCGCCTGAGTTTAGCACCTTAATATAATTAGCTTCCTCATTGGCTCAAAGACATTGGCAGATTCACTTACATTCTGTAGAAACAGCTACCTTCAGCAGAGCGGTTCTGATCCGTAGTTTCCAGCTTGTAGGTAATGCTAATATCAAGGTCGCGCTTGTTCTTGTCGTTGGGCTTGTTCTCCAACATACCAGACACAACTTCCTCTTCCTCAACGGTCAGAACATCCCGCAGGTAGAAGACAGTTTGCTTCCAGTGGGTATACTTGGCATGGGGACCAGTTGAGAAGAGAATTGGCTTGTGGCAGGCACCAAACTCAATGTCGAACCATGCGATCACGGCGTGGACGAAGTCGCTACGCTTGACGGTAAGCGAATAGGGCACCTTGAAGGCGAGATCCTCCTTGGTCACGGTGTAGAGATCGAAAGAGATGATGGGGCAAGGGTCGGAGACGAGTGCCTTCATCTCGACAGTATCCACAAGGGGCTCGGTGAGCGCAATCTCCTTCATGGGGCTGTAGTCGAAGCCATAGACGTTGTCCCAGACTAGTTTTCGTTAACATGTGCACAGGCTTTGTAGAATAGACCCACTCACATCCAATCTTATCATCCTTGTACTCGCCATCTTCGATGGCAGCCAAGTACATGGTAGCCTTGTCGGGGAAGATCTTGCCACCAGGAACAAGGTAACGGTCGCGGGCATAGAGGACAGTATCCAACATGCTCTCGTAGAGGAGGAAGTAGCCCATCCACTCCGAGATGATGATGTCAACCTTGGGGTAAGGCAGGACAACCTCCTCCATCTTGCCCTGCAGAAGGGTGATCTTGCTGGACAGGCCGTTGACCTCAACAATTTCACGGGCCTTTTCGATGATTGAAGACATATCAACGCCCATCACATGCTTAGCACCAGCCTTGGCAGCGAACCTATGAAGCCCAAAAAGTTAGATAACGAGCATTAGAGCTGTCGACGAGATCAAGCCGCATACATGCTAAGAATACCGGTGCCGCAGCCGACGTCGAGAACAACCTTGTCCTTGAAGATATGACGGTTCTGGTAGATGGAATCGCGGTAGGAACGAGTGCGGACATCGTCTTTCTATTTGGAAATGAAAGATCAGTAGGTTGTTGCAATGAAAAGTGTGAGGTGAACTTACAAGCATCTCCTCATGAATGCCTGAGCGGGGTTGACGTTAGCCATATTCAGCACTAGATAGATTCTGTGTTTGGAATTATTTACCGTGATGATCATAGCTAGACATGATTAGCACAATATCGAACATCAGGATTTATAATCATACATACCTCGTGAAATAACGGACTTCAGCATGGTCCATACCGACCATGCGATCAGCACTGCTGGTCATTGCAGCAGGCTCTGCGGATTGTTGTCTCTCAACTCCGGCCATGGTTGCAAGCAAGTCAATCGGTTGCTTATGTATGAGTATATAGAAGGAATCTGCTGCAAGAAATCACAGATCTCAAGAATTTTATCACAAGCTGCAAGAGAGAGAGAAAAAAAATTCAAACAAATCTAGCAGGTGGTAAACCAATATGCAGAAGAGAAAAAGTACAAAGCGCTTCGGCGAACCCTTCGAGCGGCCGTCTTTTTTTTGGCTTTTGCCCTCATTGGGAATTTCTCCTCTGGAAGGCAACAAGCGCTAAGTCCAAATATGGTTAGTTTGTTGATGAGATAAGCTCTGCGAAGAACCACTTATCAGCATGTGATATTGCTAGCCCTATGCCTTGATTAGGGTTCAAGTGCCTTGGATGCTGTACGAGAAGCCACCTGGAAAGAACATTGGTCTGCTCGTGAGTGTGACAGCCAATTCCATTCAAGTTCTGTCATGGCTAGGGCTGAAAGATATGATCTTTCGTAGCAGCTCTACTCCGAAGTGTACTGTGTGGTGGAGTTCGTCACTATCAAAGCTACTAGTCATAGTCAAGCTTGAATCTCGAAGACTTGAGAATTATACTATGTTGATCATATACGTATAGCGATGATTCAATGGCATTCTAAGCAACGCATGATGCCACAAACCCCTGACTAACGATACCTATTCGGGGCAATATAAATGTTCCGACTTTCAGAAAATTAATATCCTTCGACAGCTCCAGAGGGTTTTCAGAGCTGAGATCGAATATGCCGAGCGTTAGCTCCCCTTTTATTGCCGCGCGAAGACACTCCGCCCCCGCTACTGCCACGCGCCGCCTAGCTTCCTTAAGGGTCTCCCTCCTCGAGCTCACCTTTCTGTTGGTTGTGCCGCAGCAATTTACAAACCACCATGATTCTAGGCTCAACAAGGACAAAGCTCTATTGTTGCTTTTTGTTCCTCCTTTTTGCTACTTTAATTGGCAAATCGGCCGCCTCTCTAGGCGATCATCTTCCCGACTTCAAGGAATGCGTCAAGGTACATATTAGAAAATAGCCGAAGCTACGCAGACGCAATGCGATAGCTAATATGTGAGCAGGTCTGCAAGGCTGAGAACTGCCATGATGGAAACTCTGTGATTCGTAAGCTTCGCACAGTCTCGTTGGCCATCTCGACCTTCCACTGATTCAGTACCAGCTCTCCACCTTCGTCTCATGCTGTGGACGTGTCCTTCCGAGTGCGATTATACCTGCCAACATGTTGTGACAGACCGCCGTGTCGCTCGTGACCCTCCGATGCTGAACCCAGTCCTACAATTCCACGGAAAATGGCCGTTTCGCAGAATCCTCGGCATGCAGGAGCCCTTCTCTGTCCTTTTCTCCCTCCTCAACTTCCTTGCTCACTGGTTTGGAATGGCCCGAATTCGCGAAACGATTCCTTCGTGGCACTCACTTCGACCGTATTATATGGCTTTTGGATACTGCGGGCTGGCGTGTTGGACCTTCAGCGCATTATTTCACACACGGGACCTTCCATCAACCGAGAAGCTGGATTACTTTGGGGCTGGGGCCAATGTGATGTATGGTCTTTACCTTGCGATCATCCGGATATTCCGCCTTGATGAAGAAGAACCCCGCCACAAGCCGACTCTGCGCCGGCTGTGGACGATTATTTGCGTCTTCCTGTACACTTTGCATGTGTGCTATCTGAGCTTCTGGTCCTGGGACTACACCTATAACATGATTGCCAACATCGTGATAGGGATGGCTCAGAACATCTTGTGGGTATCCTTCAGCATCTATCGTTATAGGAAATATGGCAAGGACTGGATGACCTGGCCCGCATTGATCGTTGTCTGGATTATCCTAGCCATGAGCCTTGAGTTGCTCGACTTTCCTCCTTGGAATGAGCTCATTGACGCGCACAGCCTATGGCATCTCGGGACAGTGATCCCTACCGCGTGGTGGTACTTGTAAGTTGTCCCTCTTCCTTGCCTAAGGCTTCACAGTAATCCGGCTGTAGGGGGGTTTTAAAAGACTAACATTGCTGGATCATAGCTTCCTTACCAAGGACATCCAAAACGACGTGGCCGGAGAGAGGTTGAAGGCCTAAGCTGGTCTTGAAAGGCGGCTTCGCAATCTGCGAAGACTTTCAATGCCGCTTCGTATATGTAGCGTCCAGTTTCTAGAATGGTCCTGGTGACCTGAAATCATCTGTATCATTTGTAGTGCTATTTGATTCAACAGTCAAGGATCTGAAGGCCGCCGAAGGACCTACAACATTTCTATGAGTATCTAGTATTTACAAATTAGTGTTCCGATCATGGTTCCAATTCCGCTTATTCACCCCTCATTTTTTCCCGTGTTCCTTGGCTGGGTGGGGGGTTTGAAACCACGCCATCGGTGAGTGGCTCACCGCTTGGGCGCAATTATTGTGGCAGTACGGAGAAGCTAACCTGAGCTGGCCCCGGTTGTGTTGTGTCTCACCCACTTATCCCTCCACTCGTTCTACTCTCCCTCTTTTTTTGTAACAATCCTTCTCTTCTCGTTTGGTACTTCGGTTACTTCACTGTAGTTCTGCTCGCTGGAAAGCCCTTGAATCGCTGCTTGCTACAAGATCTGCCGCCGCCCCCCCCCCCCATTCTTACTTAGTTTGCGCCACCATGGCGTCTCCGGCAGTCAAGAAAGCAATCGCTGAAGCGGCTGCTCAATACGCAAAGCCAGAAGGGAGGATTTTTCAGTATGGTACTGCAGGAGTAAGTGTCTCTCTGCTATGGACTTATGTTTGACTCTGCAGCTTGTTGACCGATCATTCGCCCGCAGTTCCGTATGAAGGCGTAAGTCTCGCTGCTCAGCAAACAACACAACTTGAAAACGATCGACCCCGCCTCCACAATACCCCGCGATCGCCCTTTTGTTTTCACTTTGACTGAAGCCATGCCAGCGACCTTCTCAACACTGTTGTTTTCGCCGTCGGTTTGCTTGCGGGCCTTCGTTCTAGGAAGCTTAGTGGACAATGGGTGGGTGTCATGGTCACTGCCAGTCACAACCCTGCAGAGGACAATGGCGTCAAGCTCGTCGACCCCATGGTAAGTTCCTTCAGTTTATAATAAACTGGCAGACCAGTAACTAACTAACTAACTAAATCAGGGTGAAATGTTGGAGGTAGGATTTGAACAAATGTTTTAGAATGGAAAGTCATCTCACACCCTTTCAGGCTGAATGGGAGACCTATGCGACAAGACTCGCCAACGCTCCGCTTGACAAGGTCGGAGATGTTTATGAAGAGCTTATTAAGGAAATCGATGTTAGCATGGAGAACCAGGCTCGCGTGGTTTTCGCTCGTGACACCCGCGCCTCTGGCTCCCGTCTTGTCTCAGTTCTCAACGCCGCACTTACCGCTACGGAAGTCGAATTCCTTGACCTGAAGTACATGACTACCCCCCAGCTTCACTATGTCGTTCGGTGCAAGAATACGCTGGGAACGCAGTATGAATACGGCGAGCCCACTGAGCAGGGCTACTATGAGAAGCTTGCTGAGGCTTTCAAGAGAGTGATGCGGGGCATTAAGGTCAGGGGTTCTTTGACCGTTGACTGTGCCAATGGTGTTGGTGGCCCCAAACTCAGGGAACTTATCAAGTACCTGCCCACTGCGGAGGAGGGCGGTCTTGACATCAAGATCGTCAACGACGACGTTATCAACCCCGATAGCCTCAATTTCGAGGTATATTCCCTTCTATATCCCACCCCCGCTGCTGTTCGCTCGCTAAGTCATCTATCAGTGTGGCGCCGATTATGTCAAGACGAAGCAACGCGCTCCTCCGTCGTCCAAGGCCGGTCCCCTGGAGCGCTGTGCCTCATTGGATGGTGATGCCGACCGCATCGTTTACTATTTCGTTGATGAGGGCAACGTCTTCAGGCTGCTCGATGGCGATCGCATTGCCACTCTTGCTGCGTCTTTTATTGGCGATCTTGCTCGCAGCGCTGGAATCGCGCAGAAACTCAAGATCGGAGTCGTACAAACTGCCTATGCCAACGGATCTAGCACTGACTACATTGAGAAGGTGCTGAAGCTTCCCTCCATTTGCACCAACACCGGTGTCAAGCACCTTCACCACGCCGCTTTGCGGTTTGATGTTGGTGTCTACTTTGAGGCAAACGGACATGGTACGATTACCTTCTCCGAGAATGCTCTGAAGACGATCAAGAATACGGAGCCTCAGTCTCCCGCCCAGCAGCGCTCGCTCGAGTGCCTCCAGGGTCTGACGGATCTGATCAACCAGGCCGTTGGTGACGCCATTTCTGACATGCTTCTGGTTGAGGCTATTCTGTCTCACAAGGGTTGGAGTCCCAAGGAGTGGCTCGCAACTTACACCGATCTGCCCTCGCGCCTTGTCCGTGTCGAGGTTGCGGATCGCGGAATCTTCAAGGCCTACGACGCTGAGCGTAAGCTTGAGTCGCCGCCAGGTCTGCAGGCTGAGATTGAGTCTCTGCAGTCCCGTTACAACAAGGGAAGGAGTTTCGCTCGTGCCAGTGGCACGGAAGATGCCGTGCGTGTTTACGCTGAGGCAGCGAGCCGTTCCGAGGCTGATGATCTCGCCACTCGTGTTGCCAACGCTGTTCGTGAAGCTGGTGCCGCCAAGGAGCCCTCGTCCTAGACTACCTTCGGGCTTCTACCGGCAAGGGTCGAGGGCATATTGTCTATCCATGTTTGGCTCATGCGGGTAGCTGGTTCAAAAACAGCATTGAATCTGGACGCGCAGTGCAGACTTGCTGTAGAAAACCGAGTTCTGGGGTTTCCTGGGAACTTTGATGAATGAACTCATGATCTTAATCTAATCTACACATAAGCAGAGAAAATTTGCATTTCGGTTTGTGCATTTGATAGTGCCTTTCTATGTGACACTGCAAGATATGCAGACATCATCCATTTCGGCCCTACGCTTGCTCCTCTTCTCCTGTTGCATTCACCCTTATCATGTAGCCATGCGATGCGATGTTCCCGTCATTTTATAGATCGAATCATTCCAATGGCGTATCGCGATGCTTGATCGTAGTCAACTTAATTTTCCTCTTCGACACAGGAGGCAGCAAAGGGTATGCTAATAAGGCCCTCTCTAGCTCGTAGCATCTGGGTGTGGCCCCGCGGCGTTGTGTGGCCAGGCAGATGCTGTCCGTCCATTCGAGATGCTGAGAGTAGATTGTGTCTAGGCATCGAATGTCGCCTCTCGACTCAGGTGAAAACACGGTCTCCGGTGCCTGTGTGATACATGCTGGGGTTTCAGCGCGCATGGTTGTATCGCAATGGCGATAAGGATGTTGTATTACAGTCGGACACTACGCTGTCGAGCAACCAGTCTGCCGCATAACCGATGGCAGTAGTGGCTTCAGGTCCCCCGCCGGCACTGCCCTCTTCCAGGCTCCATCGACCAAGTTACCCTAGATCTGCCGGCCCAGCGCATGGGCAGATGGTGCGAGCAGACTATCTTATTTTCCAAGGAAGAAGCACAGTCGCTTGGCATTATAAGCCAGGAAAGTCAGACAAACGTCCAGATGAGCAACCATGACGCCGTCTGATTCTGGTCCACTGGGTTGGTTGTGACTATCGTAGACGTATGATTCACTCTATCATGATTTCGTACTAAGGTGCTTGTGTTTTTTCTCGCGTGGTTTTTCTCCCTGGCATGTACTATGTTGTAGCCTGGCGTAAAGCCCGCGATATATATGTCAAACCGGCGACAAAGCCATTAATACTGTGTAGGAGAACATGCCTGCTCCAATTCATACAGCTTTGTGTCGACTAGAGTACGGTATCTTGGCCAGGCCAGTAAAGTATTCTAAGGCAAGCACTCCTCATTTATCATATGTGTGCAAGCTATAGGTCAGATAGAGATATTGTCTCGCACCAATATTGATTTACACATTGTTTTGTCATATAAGTTATAATTTCAATGGCTCTTTCAACAGCAAGGCCTGCTGGCCCAATGGTAAGGCGCTTGACTACGAATCAAGAGATTGCAGGTTCGAGCCCTGCGTAGGTCATTCTTTTTTGCCCGCATCCTGATGGATACGATATGCCTCAATGGCATTGCTTTTTGTTCTTGTATCTGCCCAACATTAACTGTGAAGCACCGTGTGCCAGTGACGTTGGGATTTATCAACCTCCGTCCCTATCTGATCTGCCACCACCCGCCATTGTCATGTCGCCGTCACGATATCGTCAATGAGCTTCACTCTCGTGGAGTGGAAGTGGAGGGTTCGGCTCCACTGGCGTGAGCTTGGCTGGGGCTTGTTTGGCTGGTAGAAGCATATTCTCGATTGTTTCTCGACCGACGCCGTGGGTCCAATGACTGAGGTACGAGAGCGATGAGCGATGAAAGGATGAGATGATAAACCGAGCATGAGTCAATCCAGAACAATGGCATTATCGTGAATCCGAGCGCCAACACCGCCGAGAATCTGCATCAGGCTACAAAGTAGGGTCCGCAGAGTCGAGGGCCAAAAGCCCATAGCAGAACCAGCCTAGGATGGACGATGGGCAAAACAAAGCGTCTTTGCGGAAAGCAGCTAAACTGGGAAGACTTGTCACAAGTACTAATAAGTATGCTAACCTCTATACAATACAAGTGGCATGAAGCGAGAGTACCCTAGGGGGGAACTACAAGACTAACATCCACTCAGACCATGAACGCCCCCATCCGCAGTGTACGAGCAAGAACCCGTCCCCGCTGTAGTCGAGTTCTGCGGGTACAGGACTACGTTATCAAACTCGATGTTGTAGCAGGGGTACACCGTGGAGCACGACACAGAGGAAGTCGTGGACTTGCTGGTGTCAATCCACCCTGTGAAGTTAACGAATGCAATATTGGAGATCAGCATCTTGCTTGTGCCCGCGTAGGAGCCATTATCCCCACTGCTCTCGCTAATCGCGGGACCCGCGTTGGCTCCCTGGACGTCGAAGTTCGAGAAGATGATGTTCTTGACGCTGCCCCAGCCGCCTCCGCGGGGGAGGTAGTCGCTTTCGTACGAGTCCTGGGGCACGAGAGCTCCGACCCAGGTCTTGATGTAGGCGCTGTTGTGCATGTCCTCGTTGTATCGGATGATCTGAGGAGTTCGATTAGTACCAGTCTGCTCCTACGTGTCGGGGGAAGTGAGTGGGGGTTGCGATACCTTGACCTTGTCGACTTTGATGTTTCCGACACTGGAGTCTTCCAAGTACTGTCCCAGACTACCGATGGCAATTCCGTTGCCACCCCGGCAGGTGACATTCTGAATGTCGATGTTGTAGGAACGAGGCTTGATGGCAATGCAGTCATCACCACCCTGGTACACGAAGTTGGTGAGTTGGATGTTAGTGGCGTCCATCGTGTCTGTTCGAGTGAATTTGTCAGTTGATGCGCATCCTCACTGGCGAAGAGATAACTCACCGAATCCGTCGGTGTTCTGGACCCAGTTACTACCGTACGGCGCATCCACAGCCGTCGCGTTGCAGGTTATGTCATTGAATCGCATGTTCGTGCCATTCATGATGTTCAGACTCCAAAGCGGGGGATCTTTGACGTAGAAGCTCTCAACCTCGACGTTTGAAACGTTCCAGAAGACGAAAGGCATCGGTCTCCCGGGCTGTGTGGTGCCTGCTTCTGCAGTGTACCAGACATTGCCGTTGCCGTCAATACCTCCAGTTCCGTAGCCATTGATGGTAATGTTGTGCCCGGTGATGACGAAGCCAGCGGCGTGATTTTGAAACGCAACGGGGTAAGAATGGTTGCGCCAGTAGGACAGGTCATCCGAGAACTGAATGCAGAGGAGTATAAGTGTATGCGTCTTGTTCCACAAGTGAAGAAGACCCTCACCGTCCACTTTCCTCGCCACTCGATCGCGACGTTATTCAGCACAGGGTTGAGTCTCTGTGCGATCCAGTATGACTGGTCCTCAGGGAAGATGATGGTTCCTCCATTGCCACACTCCTTGAAAGCCGTCAAAAGATTCGGTACATCGTCCTTCTGATGTCCGTTGGCCTTGACAGTGCACACATTGCCCTTCTTTTCAACATTACTGGCACAGCTAAGAGCTGAAAGGCCCAGTAGCAGGAAAAGGTAGGATGCTGAGGCCGAGAATCTCATCGTGAAGGAGTTGACGCGCAGTTAGAAGGTTGGAACTCCGGATTGTCTGCTGAAATCGATTGCGCCATCTCGCTTTTTTTCAATGACTGCCAACGGGGTCTCAAGGGTCTCTCTCCACCGTGACATCAAGCAGGCACGCAAACTATCGGGGGCAATTGGCCCGAGTCGAGATGATCAACAGCAGCGGGTAAAGGAGAAATAACGCGGAGAAAGAGACGGGGTAAAAGCAGGAGACCGCAGCACCTGCCGAATTTCCACCAATGACGCAGCCATGCCTCCTGCATCCCCAAATGCGCTCAATTCTCTCTGTCTGCTTCATGCCACTACAGCTCTTGCGACTCAAAGCTTCCCCCTGGTTGGCGTGAATTTGGCCTTCTTATTCCTTGCAATTAACCGAGCAGGGCCCGAGTGACGTGCATTTCCCCTCCTTTTCGGTCAAAGCATCGCAAGCAAGCCGAGATACAGATTAATTTCCAGCCTCAAAGAAACGACACCCCCTCTTTTGATCTCTGGGGTAAAAGTCCGGGGTATCGACTCCTGAAGTTGCCCCTTGCTTATATCAATATCTTCGATCGCCGCGATAATGGCTCTGTCTCTTCTCTCCCAGGACTGTTCGCACTCCGTATACACCTGCCTGAGGTGTAGACAGCAGTCATGCGCTGGCTTCCATCTCTTCTGGGAGCTATAGCTCTCCTTCCTCTCTCTGGAGCCTCATCTTGTTGGCGTAACACAACCTGTTCCGGTCCTACCACTGCCGCTTTTCCCGGCTCGTGGGAGAAGAACATCTTTGCCCCATCCTCTAGAACTGTGAACCCCGAGAAACTATTCTTGATCACCAAGCCAGACGTCACGCATGAGTATGCCCCATACAAGCTAAAGGGCAATGGATCCCTGGTGGTGTACGACTTCGGAAAGGAAGTGGGTGGTATTGTTACCGTGAAGTATACCTCCACCGGCAGTGGGGCTCTGGGGTTGGCGTTTACCGAGGCCAAGGACTACATTGGAGAATGGTCCGACTCCTCCAACGGAGGCTTCAAGGGACCCGATGGTGCACTGTATGGGAACTTCACCGAAGCGGGCGAGCATTCTTACACGATGCCCGACAAGTACCTGCGTGGTGGATTTCGCTACCTGACGCTGTTCTTGGTCACAGACAACTCGACCGCGTTGCAGATCAAGGATGTGAGCTTGGAAATTGGCTTCCAGCCCACTTGGTCTAATCTGAGGGCCTACCAAGGATACTTTGACTCGAGTGACGACTTGTTGAATTCGATCTGGTACAGCGGCGCGTACACGCTGCAGACTAATGAGGTACCGGTCAACACAGGGCGTCAGATCCCAGCAATGGCTTACGGATGGGCAAACAATGCTACTCTGGGACCGGGTGATACCATTATCGTCGACGGCGCGAAGAGAGACCGAGCTGTGTGGCCAGGTGACATGGGCATCGCCGTTCCATCCGCATTTGTCAGCATTGGGAACTTGGAGAGTGTCAAGAACGCCTTGCAAGTGATGTACGACTACCAGGTATGTGGCGACACCCAAGGATGTGGGCAAGCTTGCTGATCAGACCAGGCCTCGACGGGGGCATTTGATGAATCAGGCCCTCCTCTAAGCCAGAAGAACTCGGACACGTATCACATGTGGACGATGGTAGGGACCTACAACTACTTCTTGTATACCAATGACACCGACTTCCTCGAGACCAATTGGGCAGGCTACCAGAAAGCCATGGGTTATATCTATGGCAAGGTGACCTACGAAAGTGGCTTGCTGAATGTCACCGGTACTCGCGATTGGGCGCGATGGCAGCAGGGATACAACAATACTGAGGCACAGATGATGTGAGTAGTGCATTATCTCCCGATCCACGCCAATCTAATATGGAATAGCCTGTATCACACTCTCAAGACAGGAGCCCAGCTCGCTACTTGGGCTGGTGATACGACTGGTCTGTCGGACACATACACCACCCGGGCCGAGAAGCTGCGGGAGGCCATCAACGAGTACTGCTGGGACGAGTCGTACGGAGCGTTCAAGGACAATGCAACGGATACGACTCTTCACCCACAGGACGCAAACAGCATGGCCCTGTTGTTCGGAGTTGTCGACAGCGAGCGCGCTGCTAGCATCTCCGAGAAGTTGACAGAGAATTGGACACCCATCGGAGCCGTGGCCCCGGAGCTGCCGGAGAACATTTCGCCATTCATCTCGTCCTTTGAAATCCAGGGCCATTTGACCGTGGGTCAACCCGCTCGCGCTCTAGAGCTCATTCGACGGAGTTGGGGATGGTACTATAATAACGCCAACGGCACCCAAAGTACGGTGATTGAAGGCTACTTGCAGAACGGCACGTTCGGCTATCGGTCCAGCCGTGGATACTACTACGACACAGCGTATGTCTCGCACGCGCATGGCTGGTCTTCGGGCCCGACGTCTGCCTTGACGAACTACATTGTGGGTCTGACCATCACCTCCCCGGTGGGAACGACCTGGGAGCTTGCCCCGCAGTTTGGGGATCTCAAATCCGCCCAGGCTGGGTTCTCGACCTCCCTGGGCAAATTCCAAGCATCGTGGACGAAGACGTCGACTGAGTACACCTTAGACTTTACTGTTCCCCAAGGAACAACGGGTAATCTTACTCTGCCATACATAAGCTCCAAGCAGCCAACGATTACAATTGACGGCAAGAAGATCACCAAGGGCGTGAACTACGCAGACGACACGGCAAGTATGACGATTGCGAGCGGCGGAAGCCACAAAGTGGTTGTGAACTAGCTACTGTGGTGAGCCGTTTCTAGTGAAATCAAATGAGTAATGATTGTCGTCAACTTCTAAACCTCTCTGTAATGCCATTTCGTACGAGTAGGTGGTCCTGACATACTTCGCACCAACCAATCAGGGCAGCTCACATCACGTGTCCGCCTCTTCTCCGGGAACCAACCAGCAGCAGCCCATCGTCATCGAACTCCAGCTTCTTCCCCATAAACACCATCAACTCTACACACTCGCCTAACAATGGCAACCCCGACAGCCCTCCAGGGCATCGCCATGCCCTGGCGCACATGCAATCAATGTATCCGCCGCCACTACCTCCTGTCTCGTGGCACTGCGCGCCAACAACCGCGCCTTCACCTCTCCACCACCTCTCCCGTCCGCTCCCCCCCGGCCAGCAGCAGCCCTTCGAACCCCCTCCGCGCCTCCCGCGCGCGCACCACCGAGAAAGAAGTCGCGGGCGCGCAGCGCTCCATCCTGCTGTCCGCTAGCGGGATCGCCGCCTGCGCGATCGCCATGTACGGCGTCATCAAACTCGACCTGTTCGGCCTCGAACAGTCGAAACAATCCCAAAGCACCCCGACCGCCCAACAGGCCGCCGACCCCCTCACCACCAGCAACAAAACCCAGCTCGACGGTCCGCAAGGCTTCCCCAGCAGCCCCTCGCTGATCAGTCTCCAAGGCCAAGACCCCGGTGCCGAGCAAGTAGCCACCGGCACCAGTTCCGTCCCCTTCTTCCCCGCGACCATCCGCCTGCCCAAGCTCCTCGACTCCCCCGCGATCCCGCTGCAGGCGAACGACGAGATCCAGCTGTCCACATCGACCGAAAAACCCGCCGACGAGGAGGAGTACCAGCTGCTCGGGCTAGGGATCCGCACGGTCTCCTTCCTCCGCATCCAGGTCTACGTGGTGGGCATGTATGTGGCCAAGTCGGACATTTCGGAGCTGCAGCGCAGGCTGGTGCGCACAGCCGTCAACCCCCCCTCCGTTCCCTCGGGCGCAGCGGGGGAGACCGCGGAGGTGATCACGAACCCGGTCGGCGCGACGTCGGCGACCTCGCTGGTCTCGACGGAGCGCGACCGCCTCCGCCAGCTTCTGCTGGATAGCAGCGAGCAGGGCGATCTCGTCTGGGACGCGATCCTGCGCGAGGGCGGGCTGCGCACGGCGTTCCGCATCGTGCCCGTCCGCAACACCGACTTCACGCATATGCGCGACGCCTTCGTGCGCGGCATCACGGCGCGCGCCCAGAAGTACAACGCCGTTCGCCAGGAGTACGTCGATGAGGCGTTCGGGGCCGCCGTCAAGACGTTCAAGGCGCTGTTCGGCGGTGGAAATACCAAGAATGTGCCCAAGGGGAACACCGTGCTGCTGGTGCGCAATTCGCGCGGCCAGCTCGATGCGCTGTTCCAGACCGAGGTCCCCGACAAGCCGGCCCGGTATATGGGACGGGTCGCCGACGAGCGCGTCAGTCGCTTGGTCTGGATGAATTATCTGGCCGGCAAGAATGTGTCGAGTGAGGCGGCCAGGGAGAGCGTGGTCGATGGCATTATGGCTGTCGTCGAGCGGCCCGTGGGCACCGTCGTCCAGAAGGTCGTATAGTCCCTGTGTATGTATGTATGTATGTATGTACGGTATATCTGTTGGTAGTTCGTATCGCTCTACGCTCCGACTCCTACCGTGGGTAAATCGAACCCCTGCTCTCTGCTCATCCCTGTATCCTAGACTATAAACTACCCCGGGGGAGAACCCCCGGACCCCCCTTTTCTTTCAGCTTCCTGGCTAAACTCAACCCCTATAACCCCCCAGTTCAGCCCAACCGCACTACAATCTACAAGAATCAAACACCAGAACCTTGGCAAAATATACCGTCCCCATTCATTTAAACTCTCTATCTCATTCATCTCCCCAAATACATATATCGACATATCTTCAACTAACACCGAGGGACATTTCAAGCCTTGAGAGCCCCAGCATCCTTCAACAGCTTCTTCAACTGCTCGCGGCTCTTACCCTGCAGATCTGAGTTACCGCCAATGTGCTTCTGCCCGATGAAGATGTTCGGCACCGTGCGCTGCGACGAGATGTCGTACAGCGCGTCCTGAATAGCTTGGCCGTCGGCTGCCCAGGGGCACAACCCCCAAAAAGTTAGCGGAGTTCATATCAACCATAAACCATCCACCGGGGGGAAAAAAATCACACAACACCAACACAAGGGATATGTGGGGCGGTATCGTGTCACACAACCACAACCACAACCACAAGCAAAGAAGGGACAACATACAGATCTCATCCAGCTCAAGCAACTTGTACTCGGCACCCAGCTCGTTGAGGAGTTTCTTGCTGGCGCTGCAGTAGGGGCAGTAGGATTTGGAGAAGACAACTGTTTCATGACATCACACACGGAGGGTCAGTCATGGTCATGCGATCGATAGATTGTTTATGCTCGTCCCAAACCCACTGGGAAAGAAGGGAGACTCACCAACGCCGTTCTCGGCGATCAGGTTCTGAGCGGTAGTCTTTGCGTTGGCCATGGCGGCGGGGGAGGGGCCGGCAAAGGAGCCGAAGAGCCGGGTGAAGATGGAAGCTATGGTGGGCGAGTGATTTAAAAGTGTTTCGACCGGTGCGCGTGGACGGTCGAAAGGGGTCTATTTAAAGTTGTTCGGAGATGGAAAGAAAAGAGAAGAAAGGAAGTTCGGGGTTGGGGGGGGGGAGACGAAGTCAGGAGGAGTGGGGGGGGGGGTATTTATCAATTGCCCAGGAATTGTAGATGGTCACTTTTCACAGCGAGCAGCGAGTTGCGAGCGAGCGGAGGGCCGACTCCAGCCCGCGGAAATTATGTAAGGCGGCCTGGCGATGATGGCATCATCGCTCATGTTGACAAATGCTTGGAGCCACCAATTGCCCCACGGCCATGTCTATGCATTTCTACCGTCTGTCACTGGCTGCTTAAGTAACCTCGGTCCTTGATAGCTTAACTACATAGTGGTATATGTATGCTCCAGTCATTCTGCTCACTTCAAGCAAATACATTTCAACTCTATCAAATAGCCTCAATGGGCCTAGATACAACTAAAAGAAAAAAGGTGCGTAATTTGTCATAAATGACCGCTCCAATGCTGATGCTCGCCGATAAGGGAATTCAAAGGAATGACCAATGCTCAAAGACAATGAGAGTAAGGGAATCAAACAGGTCAGTAGCTGCGATATTAAATGAACGTCTGTCAGACACAAACACAGAATAAATGGACAAGAATTAAAAATCCTAGATATGAACACCATACCCAACCTGCACGCTGAATAAACAGAATAGATGAGAAATGATGCAGCGAAATCAGGTATATGCGGTAAAAGCCCCCTTCAAATGTGGCAGAATTGGTCACATCACGATGCAGCATCCACAACCCTTCTCTTTCGGGGGTGGCGCTTGCGCCGTCACCACAGGTGGGCTCCATTTCGGTGTCAGCGGTGCCGGGTTGGGTTCCTGTACACGGGGCATTGTGCTGTACCCACTGCCTGTGACGGGGCGTGTATCTGTTTCACCTTCCTTGGGCGGTAACTGCTCGTTCGTAGTTTGCTGTGGTGCAGGCTGCGGCGCAGGCTGCGGCGCAAGCTGCGGTTCGTCCTTCGCCTTCTCCTCCACTTGGGGCTTCTCCTGCTCGGGACGCTCATTCTTCGGCCTCTCCACCTTGCATGGTCCATCGGGCCCGATAGCCAACGGGGCAAACTCGCGATCGTACATTGTTGGGGTCTTACCCTCTTTGGCCCATTGCTCCTGCTGCATGCGCCGCGCGTGTGTGGGGAGAATCTGCTGGTCCGGAGGAAGACGCGGATCGGGTTTGTACATGGTAGCCAGCCATGGAGGATCTCCTTCTGGCCGATTAATGGGGTTGGGCGGGCCACGACTCTCGCCTGCTCGGGCTCCGGGCCGCTGAGTATTAGACGGGAGACGAGCTCGTGGAGTCGCCTTTCGAGTTGCAGGAGGAGCAGAGGTTTTGCGGTTCGTAGGTCCAGCCTTTGCGGGCGTTTTCTTGGCCGCCGTATTCTGTGATGGGAACCCACGGCTACCCGGCCGACTGCCACTCGCAGGTAGGCTGCTTGCCGCCTCCACGGTCATTGGCTCGCTGGCTCGACGCGGCATTCCGATCGACAATACCTCATCTTCACCATTAGTTAGGGCTCGGGAGCGCTGCATAGGGAATTCTCGTCCAGTGTGTTCCGGTGAGATCGGCGCGGGACTGGCCTTGGAAAGCGGGATTCGAGAGGAGCTCTTTCGCAAGCCAGGATTGTGGTAAAAGCCCGACGCTGCCTGCTCTTTCGCCCGGTCTGCAGCAATTTCCTCTGGCCGACGGAGATCCCAGTGCTCGCGATCACCTTGCGTACTATCGTGGTGGTCACCGGCATCGGAAAAGGTTCGTGAGTCGTAGGAGTCGCGCGGCGATCCATCGTGTAGGCTAGGCCACGGTTCCATCTGCTCGTTCGGCGAGTGCGGGGAGAAAGAGCGCCCGTTGAGCCCATGAGACTCATGAGATCTTCCACGGCCGGTCTGTGGTCCGTCTGTTGCTGCCCGTCGTTGGAAAAACTGCTGCAATTCTTCACTTTCAATCTTGGCCAACTTATCCCGATGGATCCACTTCTCATTATCCAGCTCCTCAAGGTATACTCCGATGCCCTCGCCCGATTTTATCGGTCCATCCTGACGGGGAGCCTCGACTGAGGCCCTCGCGAGATTGGCGCTGCGGTCTACTGGTTCGTATCCGTAGTGGTGCTGTGAGCCAAATTCCTCACTTTCGCGTCGGCTGTGACTGGCGTCTCCGCGACCGCGCGCGTTGGTTTGGTCGGGAACGTGGACATGTCTTGACAGAGAGGAGCTGCGAGAGCCCTTTTGGCGATGGCCCCGGGAGCGAGAATCATGGGACGAGCGCGATTTGGAGCGGTAATTAGTGCTCTAGACACAATCCAGGGTCAGCCAGTCTAGTTCCTACGACCCTACAGGATCGGAGCATACTGTACAGTGGCTGCAAGCTTGCGCAGCGTGGCCACAGTAGTCGGTTTTAAAGCACACTTACATCTTGTCTGATCGGAACTGAGAACTCCCATTGACCCCCGTCTACAGTAGGCGACGTCCAAGCATCTGTCGAATACGTCGCGGTAGCCGTCCCGGCCATCCCAGCAGCAGTAACTATGAAATAGACAAGTCCAGTCCAGCTGGAACCCGGCGTGCGTTGAGAAGGGGGGGAGGGGGTGACTGTGACGAATGCGACGAGCGGCTGGTCACTGGGCGAAGATTGGGGTTGTTTCTCTCTCTTTCTCTTTCTCTTTTGTCCCGATTAGGCCATCCCAGAGACGCACAGACCAAAATCACCAACCGCTCAGAGCAGTTTTGGCTTAAGTCCCTCCCTAAGTTGACAACGCAACGATGGGTAGGATGTGAGGGGCAGAGAGGCTGGGAGAATATGAAGCCGGATGGCGAAGAGATGAGTCGATGGGAAAGGGGGGCCCAGGAAGCACGAGCGAGACGAGCCGAAAAGAGGAAATTGTAAATAAGGAGAAAAGTGGAGAATTTCAGCGCCTTGGAATTGCTGCGCAACCGTCAAAGTGGCTCCCTCGGAGGAAGTGGATTGAGCAGTTCGGTAGTCAGGCACTGGCGGGAGTCGGTACCGTGGATGTGTCGATTCGGCTCAGGGAACGTCAAAAGGCGGACGGCGGATGGCAGACGGCTAGCGGGGAAACGGGGTTGAGAGCAGCTGCCGGAGGAAGACTAAGCTCTCGAGGACAGAGGGGAGGAAATGAACAAGAATTATTAGAGGCCCAGACAAAGAGGGGCAGCGGTGAGAGACAAAATAAAGTATATTAAGGCAGTTGAGTGGGTGGAGGAGGAGGAGGATGAGGAGGGGAAGACAAGGCAAGAAAAAAAAAAGTAGCCAGGGAAAGGAGTGATGCACAGGGTGTGTGGCTGGACCGTGGCGTCAGGACAGCTTCCGAGACACAATTGGAGGGGAGGGGAGGGGGGGGGGGGGGGGGGTAGGTCAGATTAGAGTACGAAGCAGGAGAAGAATAATGTTCAGTCAACTGTCCTAAGGCCCGGGTTCGCAAATAAGATGAAAGACAAACTGAAGAGCGAAGAGCCGAGAAAGACGGGGTAAAGTAAAGGAGGCAAAGAAGAGGAGAAGAAGAGGAGGAGGAGGAGGAGTAGGAGAGGAGCGGGAGGAGAATTAAGACGAGGCGAGACTAAGAGATTCCTGGGAAGGAGGAGAACAAGACAAGGCGCTAAGACTCCTTGAGATTGTGTTAGTGCCTTTAGACTACCTTAAACTTATCCTCCTCGTGACGGACTGCCTGAGATTGAAGTGATTAACTTACAGGCTACTGTGTACTGTAGTAATCATCCAATGATTCACTACAAGGACTGAGATGAGAACCTAACAAACACAAGCTTCCCTGTCAGTCTACAACCATTCTCTCGCCTGCCGGAAATCGTTCCGTCCGATTGACATTTCATCGGCGATCCCCAGTCAGGCTTGAATGTCCCCCAATGGTCTGGTCGGCCCGAGATGGGGGGATGGGACCAAGCTCAAGCTCGCATAGCACGTATCTCCCTACTTGTGATAGATCTTCTGATGTAGAGAGACGTGATGACAGGGAACAGATCCAGGTAGATGGATCTCCGGTTAGTCCGAGATCTCCAGAGCTAGAGTTTCTGCTAGCATGCTTACCTAATGGATGTAGTTAGTTACTTGTAACTAACTTAGCCAACTGTAAGTTGTTAATGGCTGTATGCAAGTGTTGAGTAGAGGTACTTCATCTGTACTCCGAATTGTTCCAGATGAGTTATAGAGTAACAGTACATCACAACTGTTGACGTCAACAGGAGTCCTAGCACTCACACATTATCCGACATTACCAGGCCTCCAATAGCAGATTCGTCCAATGACGAGTAGAATGGAGGATGGAGTCGGTGTAGTAAGAGTTAAGTTGAAAGCATGAACGAGTGCATGCACCAACCAGCGAATGATTTCTCACTCTGGTCGGATTTTCATGCCGGTCAACTACACCGACATACTTTAGCGCTGCAAAACATGATCCTTCACAATGCTCACAGCACATCGTAGTATCGACACCCCCTTGGATAGTTACAGTGCAGTACACTAGGCTTGTCCATGACGACAGGGCCGGTGTTTTCGGAGCTGACAGCCTTTCCCCGACACCGACAGTACTGTACATACAAGTACACACTTAGCGGGGCCGAGTCCTGCCCATTCCCAGTCCGTCATAGTCTTGAATCGATTCGATTCGGCCCAAATTCGTCTCACTTGTCTCCAACTCCGAAATTCAGAAGCTAGGCGCACGTGGAAATGTTGAATTCAAATGCTTGTAGCCATAAAAGAAAGCCAGATGAGCCGACAGAACCCTTATCCAGACATCCCCATCCGAGAATATCCTCCGGACGCCAGCACCATGCAAAATCCCATTCACAGGTAATATTGTATATGCATCGGGGCGACAATACCCGTGCCCAGCCAGCCAGATAGAGAGAACATGACCTTAATCAGAGCTGAAGTACATGAATCGTAGATTACAGCAGTGAAGTAATCAAACAAACGCTGAAGGGGAATAAAATGAAAATATTCTCAAACAAAGTAACATTATTGGCTTTCCGTGAGATAAAGGAAGACGAAAGAAAACCTGTACATACAAGGCGTGGAATGCTTAGTGGGCCAGCGCCTGATCAAGCTTGGCCAGTAAGCCCTGCGCCTCCTTGACCAAGGCGCGACGGGCAGCGCGGTCCTCGTCATTTGTGATCTCAATACCGTCGGCCTTCAAGATGACCTGTGCGAGAATGGTTTCGCTGAGCTTCTTGTGCTCAAAATCGCGCGCCTTCGGATCCGTCGGCGGATTGGCAAAGTACTCTTCACACAGAGGGAGTAGCTCCCGATGGAGATACGACAATAGGCCGTTGGCTTGGTCCAGCGGGGTACGGAAGGAGTTGAGGCTGGGTGCCGGTGACGGCATGCCTGATCGACCAGGGGAAGGGGATGCTCGCGCCGATTGCGCCGGGGCTGCCAGAGTGGCCGGGTCTGCTGCGCCACTAGTGGCAGCTTGCTTGCCCGTCTTCTTGTTACCCTTCTTCCCGCGCTTTTTGTTCTTGCCCGGGCGCTTGCGACGGGGCTCGTCTGGCTGAGCAAGCTCAACCTCCGCCTCCGACGTCTCGCTCGGGGAGCTTTCCCCGGGCTGCACCTCCGAAACCACGCACAGGACTTCTGACTGCTGCTTGAGTCCCTCCGCCCGACAGGGCAACGAATCGTCGTCTAACAATTTTCCCTTGTAGAGTAGTCGGATGCGCTTCGGGTCAGGCGTATGCGTCACCTCGGCAGCCCGTTGTCTCAGCTGACCCACACTGAGGGCGCCCTCACTGATCGCGTAAGCAGGGAAGTGCAGGTCGTAGGTATTCTTGCGGTGTTTCAGAAGGATGGTGTCGGGCTCAGAGTCATCAGCACCGGCATATGACTGTCCATATGCCGGTTGTCTGAGAGGATTGACGATCTCGTCCGTCGTGATATAGCTATAATCGCTATCCGTGACATGCGGAGGGGTTTGAACATTAGTGTAGTTAGGGGAGCGACGCCAGAAATTGAAAGGACTGCGCCAGGACGACATGATGACGACTGCGACCGCACAGGCGAGAATGGTGTAGACAATCGGGATGGTAAGGTCGCTAGCTGCGTGATCCGCAACAGACTTCGGCCAAGGTGTGAGAAAGCGCAAGGGTGATGAGGCTTGAGCTGACGAAAGAGTAGTGGTGAGTTGATGGTGCAGAGTCTGAAGCGAAGGAGAAAGATTAGTGGTGACTTGATCGATATAGGAAGCACACGTCTCGCCCAGGGAGGACAGAGATATGTGCGATAGCAACTGGCTCATGGATTGTCGGCCAAGAATGAGACAATGGGAGGGAGGGGAAATGACGAGGGTGTTGAGGTCACTGGAAGTTGGCCTCTCTTTAGCTCCGGAATAGGCAGAGAAGGCGGAGAAAGCCTCTTTTTTTTTTGCCGCAGTCGCAGCCGCCTGGAGGCTCGGAGACTGGGATGATCGTCCGTCGGTCTTGTCACGAACGTTCGATCAATTTAAAATTAGTGATATTTTATAATCCTTGTCATTTCTCATCTGTGTATAAGCATACTTCTGTCCAAGTTTCCATTGAATGCTCCGCTATCGAGACTGAGAGGTAGGCTCACCACAAGGCTGAATGGTACCTAGTAACTTAGTAGTATACATATTACTTATCTCCAGATCGAATGACCAATCGATTTGCAACCATGCCCCAGTACCTTAGTAAGGTCAATGGCTGAAGCCGTTGCAACTCAGCAACACCCTCCTCCTCCAGCAGAAGCGGTAAGACCACTTACACGTGTTACGGGAATTGAAACCATACTTACTCATAGATCCATTTCTTCGACAGATCTCATCAGCTTATCATCGATGCACCCGCCATGTGCTGAGGTATTCTTCAGGCGTAGGGAAAGACAATCGGTACCTTAGTATAAGGGACAGGGGCCTGAGCTGATACATCAAATGAATCTTGACCAGTCTCACATGATTCGGTTGCATCATGTACCTATAAGATTGGTTGTTAAAGACCACCCTTATGTATTCCGCTCAAAGACTCATTCTGTTTTGTACTTCCTCTGAATAGTATATGTGTGGATTTTGCATAAAAATTGCCTCTTCCACCCCTGCCTTGAATCTCGAGATCAGGGTTGGTTATACTTTATGCACCTGGTGTAGCAAGGGATCTCTTTTAGGGGATCACTCAAAAGGTAAGCATCTCTCGATGTTACAGTCGGACAAGCACGGATGGCATTGAATAGAAGCCTGAGCAACATTACACAGCCTATCCGAGAAGCCAAATGGCCTCAGGCACCATGATGTTATTGTTTGACTCCGGCCATTTCCGGCCCTCCCCGATAGTTTTGCGAGGCTAACCCGAGACAATTCAAAAAAGTCCAGGCGCTCTGTGAGCCTTGCCAGGCAGAAGCCGGGATTGTACAAATTATCGGCGTCTATTCACCCTATCTGACATCATTGTCTCCACTAGTCTCTGGAAGCGTTATGGAAAGCAGATCATACTGGCACAATGGAAGAATTAATATTTACATCTATAATCCTACATGACTACATGACAATGGCTATTATGGGGACTGGCAGACTCAATGCTCTCAGAGTCTGACCCCGCCTGGCGCAGGCCGACCACCAAACCATCTAGCAAGCCCACTGCTGCCATCATTCCCTTCATTCCCCATCCATCGTGGCAAGCGGAAATCACCCTGCAGCCACTGAGGCTTGCTAGCTGTCTCGAGAGTGTTCTTCATCCGGTGCGCAAACGACCGGAAAAAGTTTTCCTCCTCCTCATCCTCGACTAAAGTAGAGGTTCCAACAGTACTGCGAGGCGCGCGAGGCGTGCGAGATCCGTCAACGAGAGGGGTTCGCGAAGATATGAACGCAGGGACCTCCTCATCAACACGACTCGAAGGGCGGGGTGACCGACTACCACGGGCCGAGAGTCCCAGCGAGCCAAGACCATTGAGTTCTCGCTCGATGAGGTCACGCCCTTCACGCCAGCCACCCAGTCCGTAGCCACCAGGGTTGTTCTCCAGATCATCGTCATCCTCCTCTAAAAGCCCCCAGCTGCAGATGTTTTGCACTCGGCCGTACAAGTTGAAGAGAGTGGCACAGATGGGCAACAATATGAAGACTGGGAAGAAGTAGTCAAATCCTTTACCCAATGGGGTGAGATCGATTAAGCGGCCAAGAAATTTGTAGAAGATGGTGCTCTGGCGGGCACTGACTGGTAAGAAAGTCAGAAAGTTGTAGGCGATAGGCACAGTCAACCGAGCTACAAGCCCGGCGTACCAACAAGCGCTCTCCCCATACGTGTTGCGGCGAACCAAGGCACGGTTGCCCCACACTTTGGCGTCGTTCACGCCCACCAAGGCTGCAGAGCACATGTACATCAACCAAGCAGAGGCAATGACTTGGCGCCCGAAATTGACAGGCGCAGGATCCTGGTGATAGGAGACAATAGAAAGGGTCACTACAGATAACCGAGGAGCCATAGATTTGATCACCTCAGACCAGACAATGCAAGCAGATGCGGCAGCGAAGAGAGCACCTAGCCCAAGTCGGAGGTTTGGAATCACGCGCACGTAAAGTAGGTAACGCATGTAAGGGCTGAGAATCTTGGTCCCCGACAGCCATGATGAGCGATAAGGTGAGGGAGTGAACTCCAGATTCTTGGATGCGGAAGCGTTGATAATAGCCTGCATATCGGCAGCCGAAAGCACCAGGCGGTCCCATTCATCAATGAAACGAGCCTTTTGGTGCCGAGCGCGCTGGAGGCGTCTCGTCAGATCTGCCAGGTAGCGTTCGGTGATGACCGCCGGAATTAGGTCAGACCCATCCGAATGATTTAGCAGGGTAGACCTTGGCTCCGCAGGACTGGAGGTCTCTGCCAGCTCTTCAATCCAATCCTGAAAATCAAGAGCTGTGCCCGTTTTCCGGCGTTGCAATTGGGCAACCTGATTCTCCAAGCTTTCCAAGTCATTGATCGCATCCATCAAGCGATCGTGCAGTCGGGGTGCATGAGCGTGAATTCTCCGTAGTCTGCCGCTGACATTGGCGTTGCGAAATAGTGTGCGGGGGATCGATACCAGTCCATGACCCATGAGGTAGATTGCTAGCACGAGACCCCAGACATATGCAAGAGCCATAACGAGGGCCTTGATTGAGGTAAATTCGAACCCATTCTGAATAGAAATGTATATCAGTCCGACGACCGCACAGCACAACACGATCAGTTGATACCGCGCATTCGACCGGATAGAATACTGGATACGACCCTTCGGGTCACGATATCCAGAATCTATGTATTCTCCGAGAAGCGGAAGGATAGCCCTGCAAGGAGGTGAAATCAGGTCAGCATCTCCGTAAATACTTCAATAGCCACAGTTGATCGACGGATGCTGCGCCTCGACATACCATGTCAGCACGAATATCAGCCAGTAGGCTATGCGCCACGAGACGAGAAGTAAGCGATCAGGTAGCCAGATGGCTGCAGGACCTGATCCATCACGCGAACTCGATGCCAGATCAATGGGGACCAGTAAGACCACACTGGCTGGAAGCGCGAGCGCAAGAAAGACGGGAATAGAAAGGTAAGCCGGAGTTGCGCGCAGAGTAAGAAAGCGCCGGAGAAGAAGTAAAACAAGGATAGAAATCGTGAGGAGAGCCCCAGAGAAGAAGATACTAGACCCAACGGGCACAGGCGTGGCGAGAACCATGGCGATGATTGGGGGGGGAGGGTGGTGGTGGGAGGGGAAGGGAATGTCAGTACATCCAGCGGATGGTGAACGGAGGAGCAGGGTCTCGGAAGGGAAGGGCGATCAATCAATAAAGCATTGCAGGTGGAACTAAAGACAGACTAACGATCGAGAATCGAAGGAATCCAAACACGATCAATGTATAGTTAGAAGGTGGGAGCAAGGGAACGGAGGGAGGGAGAAGTAAAAGAGTGAGAAAAGTAAAGGAGAGTGAATGTGACCAGAAAAAGAAGAAGAGAGGAAACTGCTCGTAGTTACTACTGAAGTATGAGTACTAGTGATTATCACAAAAGGCGGCCGAGACACCCGAAACGAGATCTGCTGAATGGATCAGCTCATTTCCCAAAGGTTCGTTGATGGTCGATGATTCTACTCCGTAAAGGCCGCGGTGACGACAGCAGCCATGTCACGTGACGGTGCCTGACGTGTCTGTTTCCGTAAAAAGTAACAGCGGAGTCGCCTTTTACCGGCACTGAAATTCTCACTTACTTTTCTGCTTTCTACAGATACTCTCTGGTCGGCTGGCGTGGCTCGAGAATGTGAAATTACTACAGTATGGACTTTCTATTTCTTTTGCCAGTACAATATACCCCGTACAAGGATGTGATCCGAGCTCAGCCACCGACACACTCGACCTCAACTATGTCTATTCAATAGGCATGAACATGCCATGTTTAAATGGAAGTCTGGTTGCTGACCATGTTCCCTTGTCTCCGGAATGATATCATATGTGTATGAGCATCACGCAGAAGGATGTGTCGGTAGGGAACTTCCGCAGATTGGCATGAGGGCGAGGCACTCCCAAGCTTTTCTCGGGAGCGACCCAGCGCAAGACGTGTCCTATGGCTATCTCGATCGGTCCTCAGTCACGTTGACAAGAAGATCGGAATTAGCAAAACCGCGCTGGGAGCAAGAGAATTGGCCAACAGATCAGATGTGCTTTGCCCCTCTTCAACAGAGGTGACTTGCGATTTCAATGTCATTCAGGCTCTCGTTGTGTGTTTTGTAGCACCGTTAGGCTGCAGGCCACATTGGTACGTCTTCAAATGAGGAATAGTCTGTTCTGTCATAGAAGGTCAATCAATGAGACTACTAACGAACTAGTGTACCGATCTGATCCGGCGGGAACCATGAAGCATGAGGTCTATTAGTCCTCAACAATTCTGTCCTCTGTAGATTGATTCCACAGTGATTTTCATCTTCTAGACTGTGCTGAAGAAAACTGGAGGTGGGAATGATTGTGGGTGTGTGTTTCTGTCTGGAACCAAACTCCCACCGGGCGAATGAACCAACCCGCTGCAAGCTCCCCTTGCTACGGAGACGAGTTGAAGAAATAGGGAAAGCTAAGACCACACAAAATAACACTTCATTGGCCGATCAATGGGCTGCAGGCATAGTAGCCGACCTCATTTAATCTCAAGCAAGACTGCTCGTGTAATAATGAAATTCAATTCTAATTTTACCGAACTGATATCGCCAAGGTTTGCGAGTAAGTTACTTACCAGGTAGTCTGTACCACCTGGCGACACCACGGAGGATTGTTGTGGTAGGACTAATGTGCCGTCCACAGCAAGCCTGACCGTAGGTACATACTGTAACTACATTGGTAGCTACGAGATCCTCGGATCCCGCCGTCCTGCATAGCAGACAGACCACAACTACACTTTCGTGATGATTGTGGCATTCACCTGGAATTCGCAGTGACTAGTGTCTGCGGATGTGTGTATTAGTAGGTGTAGTTAGGTGGGTGGGCGTGAGTGAGTGTGTGTGTGTGCCTTGGTGAAACCCATCTTAATCAATACCTGAGCCCACCACATGATTGCTGCAGCACAGATCTACTCCGAGGTCCTGAATCACCACACCCAAACCAGTCAATAAGGTATAGGTAGGAGGCCATACCCGCCATTGGTCGAGTCAATTAGAGGTACTAGTGATTGAACCGACAAGGAAACTTGGTTCCGAGGCAAGGAAACAAGAGGGCAGGACTGTAGGAAAGGAAAGAAATTTATCAAAGAAGCAAAGAAGCAGAGAGGCAAAAGAAAACATACAAAGTACGAGGTGGTGGTGAAAAAGCAGGAAAGACTGACTTGACTGACCGGCTGCGAAACCAACAGTTCTTGGCTTGGTAGACCTTGCGTCTTTCCCAAAGCCTGTCACCCGTCGAGACCAATTGGTACCAGGGGATTTCCGGTGATGGGGACGGACCAGAAGGCAAAGAAAAGGATGGCCCGCTTTTTTGGGTCTCCATCGGCTGGCTCCCCGTCAGTCCCTCCGGGCGATCCCCTGGAACTTCTGGTCGAGAAAGAGAAGTGAAAAGGTGTATATTGTTCGAACTGAGGGTGGTCAGACATTTTCCACACAGTGAAAGGCTAGATGGACTAGAATAGGTCGGTGTATTGTACCTTCAGCCCAGGGCTACTTATGTTTTGCGTATATGGTACAGTAAGTGTTCACTCCGTATCGGAGTACTGTATGTGTACTCCATATCCGTGCATACAACCTGAATCTACAGCAACCCTACTCCGGCAGAATCAGTCAGAAAGATGAAGTGGTCAACAGCAGTGCTCAAATCATAATGAGGCAAGCCTTGTCGAGTTGTTGTGTTTCTTTTTTTTCTTTTCAGCGACGCGGGGTCAAATTCAGGTTTCCTAGGTTCTCCTAGTCGCAATCCCTAGTTCCCTTACCAAGCTGGATGATGAGCAGGACACCCGACCAACGGGCAGATCCCCAAGTGGTCCTTCTGGGCACGGGAACGGGGGGGGGTCGAGGTCTAGAGTACCTTACCTACCGGCTGAGAGTAGTTTAGTCGCCCACTGGAACCCACTAAATACTACTACCAGTAACTAAACCAACCACTCATCGCTTTGGGTCTGGCGCCTCAGGCCACCACTTAATTCCTCTGAATCTCTGAATGATTTTAGGTGTATTACCATCACGGCCATCACAGCCATCCATCTATCCATCACGGTCACGGCCACGGCCACCCAGAACCCACTTTACTTCCACCACCACCACCACCACCCCAGCCTGAACTTCTTTTTCTGTTAGACTACCTAATACCTAGGGTGTACCTTTTACCTTTAGTCTTAACCTCAAAACTACTAACTAACTATTACCTACTTTACTTTGGAAGTTACCTATTACTAGGAAGTAGGAACTAAAATGACTGACGGATGGATTGATGGATTGATTGATTGATTAATTGACTGACCTCAAAAGAAGTCCCTCTCTTTTCCTCACCACCACTTTCTCATTCTTTCCCTCTTTCTCTTTCTCTTTCTCTTTCTCTTTCTCTCTCTCTCTCCTCTGACTCTCTCTCTCTCTCTCTCTCTGTCTCTGTCTCTCTCCCCTCGCGCACGAGATCTTCAACTTCTCTGCCATCTCCCCTGTGTTGCCTTGCCCTTATATTGGGTGTTGATTACGTCCTTTTAACAATTTCTTTTCCTTGTTTCCCTTTTTCCTGTCCAGCTTTCCTCTTCTTGGTAGATCCTCCTACACCCCCCCCTCCCTCTCCCCCTCCCCAATTTGCCTACCTACCCACCCAACCCACCTAGACTCTGTTTCCTCGTTTCGTGATCGATCGCCGCATTTTGACTCTCCCTCTCCCTCTTCCTCTCTCCCTCTCTCTCTCTCTTTCTGGCCCTTTTCCTTACTGTTCCTTTCTTGCTTTTCGTTCTTTTTACCTTTCCCTCTTCCATTCGGTACGTTTCTAGCCAACCTTGACCCTTCTCCGCCAGATCGGAGAAGCTATTATCGGGTGAGCTGAAGATCCCCTCCTACTGCTCAGTTAATCCTAGCGCCCCTCTGCTGCCGACCGTTCGGCTTTTTTGCGCACTTCTGCATCCCATCGCTTTACCAGAACACCGGATTCGACTACGAGTGAATGCTCGCTTTGTTTTTTTCTTTTGTTTCTTTTCTTTTTTCTTTTTTTTTTTTTTTGGCTGCGAAGTGTGCTTCCAGAGCATGCTTTGCCCTCGTACATTCACTGACATGTGCTGCTCTTGCACCTAGGCTCCTAATTTCGACTTTATTTCTTCCTTATCTTCTCCGTCTTTCGTGGCTCCGGGAAGCTCCATACCTTGTCACCCCGAACGATCTTGCGAACTAAGCGGTGCAATAAACCAAACATCCCTGTCACTGATCCAACATACATCCAGTATAATCCTGCCTAGCCCACCCTTTCCCCCCTCCAAGCCACTACCCGGGCGCCTGCCAGCAACACCACCTTGAACACACCACTGGTGCCCGAACGCCTTGTTTTCCCTGCTGTGTTGGTCCTCCGTGTTCCCTCGCATCCTACGATTTAGTGTCTGCCATTCGCTTTCCCTTCATTTTGAGCACAAACTCCGGACACAAGAGCGAAGCTCATAACGCTATCGACCTCGCCCTTATCGCGAAGCACCCTCGGAACGTGAATCGTATCTCTTGCTGTCCCTCTCCACTGCCCAGGCCCCTCCCACGGCTCAGCCTCACGCATTAGCTCTTTACCGAGACACTCGAAGTGCGATCAAATCTGTTCTTGGGCCCAGGAAATCTTGTCGCAAAGAGTAGCGCTTGGCATTTGGGCCAGCGAATGCTGACGTCAACGGAAGGCTTGCGCGGACTGCTCCTCGATCCCCATTGAGGGGGTTGTTGACATGAATTCGACAAATCTCCCCAATGCGGGTGGAGGCATGAATGGCGGTAACAATAGCCAAATAATCTTGTCTCAGGTCGGGCAACTGCTGCAGTCTCAGGGCCCGTATTCAGGATGGCGGGCAGAAGTCCAGGTCAGAGATCGGGCAATGAAAGTCTATCAAATGTAAGTGGCCGTTGCATCCTCACACGTGCTCTTGACCGCTTTCTGTGGCTTGAGTTTCGTGTAACCAGTTCGACTTGACGTAGTCCTTCGACCTAACACTCTCGACACCAGGATTACATCACTCCGTCTGATACAACCCCGCATTGACACGAACAGTGCCGCTCAGGCGGCGTTGGCTTTCGAACAAAAAGCCTTCAAAGATGCAAGAGAGAAGGTGTGCATCGTTCCTATTTACCCCTTCGCTTTCCTGGGCTGACAGTTCTAGACCGAGTACGAAAGAAACTGCAATGAGAAGCTGGTTCATATTCGCGATACTCGCGCCCGACAAGCTGCTGTAATGCAGAATGGGATGATGCCCCAGGGCCCGACAACAGGGATGCCTGGGGTCGGACAGGCAGGGTTTCCTGCACAAATGAACCACCCTATGCAGGCCTCTCCAATGCCTGGGCAACAACAGATGTCGATGAGTCTTGGTGATCTGGGTCAGCAAGGTGGAATGCAACATCGCCCGCAACCGCAACAGCCGCAACAACAGCAGCAATCGCAACAACAGCAACAACAACAGAACATCATGCAGCAAAGAGCCCAACAAAGACCAGCCGTTGGGTTCCCCTACAACGATGAATTGCAAACTCTTTCCGCTCAGGAATATGAGCAAGTCTGTCGTGTTGCAAGCCAAATAATTTCAAAGACTCCCCAAGAGGATCTGGAAAAGATCAAGCTAAACCTGCAGAACATGTCGCAGGAGCAGCGCCAGTATCTCGTGAAGAAGAAGATGGATCCGTTGACTTATTTCTTCCGCTCGCAGGCTCTGACCCAGCTTCGACGGTTCAAGCGAAACCGAATGGAATTGGCTCGTAACCAGGGTGCTGGTGTTGACCCCAATGGGGCAGCAATGCTGGCAGAAACTATGAACCCACAGCAGCGACAAATGTTGATGAATTTACAACGCAACTCGACATTCCCCATGGGAAACCAGCCAAATCCTGAGCCGTCGTTCATGGGTAGTATTGACAACATTCAAGGGCAGCAAGCGGAGGGGTTGCGCTCCCAGGAAGCAGGCCAGCTTGTGGTTCCCGCTAGTTCCTTGCCGATCAACACAGGCTCAAATATGTTCCCGATGAACTCTCAGCTCGGCCCGAACGCCCAGGCCGGTATCAGCCCTCAGTTTCTCGCGCAACATACACAGAACGCGCAGAATGTTTCTCAAGGAAGGCCTCAACAGACATCTCAACTACAAACTGATACCCCTCCTCAGCAGGCACGCATTAACGCAGCTCAAAGAGCGCAACTCGCAATGACTCAAGGTGGACAAGTCGGCTCCCAGATGCAACATCAGATGGCACAAAGTCCCGCAATGTCCATGCTGAACCGTCCCATGGCCCCGGGTCAAATGTCGCCCGCACAGGTAGCTGCACAGGTCCGGCCTCCGTCTCGCGCTCCCGGCATGGGACAGCAACAGGCTAATGTCCAAGCTATGGGCGGACAGCCAGCAATGCAACGGCCTCAAATACCGCCCGGCCTTCCTCCAGCGGTCCAAGAGCATTTAAGCCAAATGAGTACAGAACAGTTGAATTATATCCAGCAACGGGCGATTGCGAACAATCAGATGCTAAGGCAAAGTCGCCAACAGTCCATGCCAATGCAGCAGGGTTTTGGGCAACAAGGCCAAGGTCAGCAGATGTTGAACGGCCAGATGGGCAATGGCCAGGGCATTCGCGCGCCTCTCAATTTGCAACAGCAAATCGCGAACATGAACGGCGTTCAAATCCCCAACCATATGCTGCCGGGACAACAGGGGTCGGTTCAGCAGCAACAGCAACAGCGTCAACACGATATGTACAAGCGGCAGCTTCTTCGCCAGCATAGTGTAGGCATCGAGATGTCACCTGAACAAACCAAAGAAATGGATCGTGTACATTTTCCACCCGCGATTCTGAACAACAATCCCAACATCTCGTCACCTGTTCCGACGCATATCAAAACTTGGGGTCAACTGAAAGAGCTGGCATCTTCGAATCCTCAACTGCTTGGGGGTGTCGACATACAGAAACTAGTGGCATTGCAGAAACTACACCTTGCCCAGATTCTGACTCAGGCCAAAGAAGGCAACCGTAGCGCCGAGCAGCATGGCCAAGGCCCTTGGATGCCAACACAGTTCCAGGGACAATCGCAGCCTTTCATGAACAATCAATTTACTTCCGGCCAGCAACAACCGCCTATCAATATGCCTGTCATGCGTCCGATCACCCCACAGGATATCCAGTTGGCCAGGCAGCGCCTTGGTCGACAAGTTCAGCATCTGAGTGACGAGAACCTCCGCGATCTGCTCCATAAAAACAGACAGAAGACGATACTAGCACAAGCTCGGGCCATGGCTGCTGCTCAACAAAATCAGCAGCCTCCGACAGCGTCGCAGCCCCCTGTCACCGTCCACCCCACCGTCCCCCAAGTCAAGTTAGAGTCCCAACCGTCACAACCGACCGCGCAACAAAATCAGCAGAATGTCCCCCCCAAGGCCCAGGCTGCACCTTCCGGAAAAGGAAACAAGGCATCTGCTACGAAGCAGGCACCGAAAAGGAAGCTTCCCAACGAGGAGTCGATGGAAGCTCAAGCTACGCCTGTACAAAAACCCAATCAACCTGCACCTTCACAAGGCGGACCTGCTCCCGTTCCAAATAGACCCAATATGCCCTTCACGCGCGAACAACTAGCAGCGATGACACCTCAGCAACGCGCCCAGCTGGAGCTACATCTGCGGAGGCAACAGGCACAGGGCCGTGGATCCATTACCAGGACGGCCGCTGAAGATTCATGGAACCACTTACCAGAGAGAATCGGCATGATGTACGAGGAAATTGCTAGGACTGCGCCGCCTGCAGAACCAGTCCCCATCACACCAGAGCAAAAGGCAACCATGTCACAGCAGCTGCGCGATTCGACAGACTATTTGGGTAGGATGGATGCGCTTGTCCAGTTCATCGCCAAAATCCCGGGCCAGGAGCGTAATGTCCGAAGTCTACTTGCGATGGTAGGTCTTTGTCGCTTGTCGCCCCGCATTCCCATTGAGCTAACGGGCATTCACAGCGGATTCAATTAATGAGACAATTCAAATCCGGATCGGACTGGACACTGACGGATCAATTCACTATCACACCTGAATACCTCGCAGGCACTACGAATTACATCAAGAAATTATTCCACCATATGATTGCGCGGGTAAATCAGCAGCAAAACCAGGTACCCGGTCAGCGCCCTAATGCTCCGCAAGGTGCACCCATGGCACCGGGAAATCTCCCAAATAATATGCCTGCACTGAACGCGACAAACTTGCACCAATTACAGCAACAGGAAGAGGCTCTTCAGCGGGCTCGTCGAGCGTCCAGCCAGACCGCCTCGGGGCCTGCTGGTATTCCGCAAGCGCCATTTGGTGCACCATCGCCTCAGGGTGTTCCGCACGCTTATGGGCCTGGCAGCATACCTCCAGAGCAGTTGAAGCTGCCCCCTCCGAAGAAGAGAAAGCAGTCCCACGCTGGTGCTACGCCTGTGCTGGGGAGTGCAGTGCCCAAGGCCCCAGCGAATAAGCCAACAGGCGCAGAAATGAAGATGGCTGGCGCACCTTTGAGTGGCGCTTTCAAGTGCAGCGTTCCCGATTGCCAGAATCATCACCTTGGTTTTGCCACTCAAAGTGCGCTGGACAGTCACGTCGAAGAATGCCACAAAGTCGAAGAGCCCATCGAAAATCCGTTGGAATTTGCCGTCGAGAGTTTCCGTACCGCCCTTGTCAAAGAGGAAGAACAAGAAGGACTTCAAAGCAGTAAGGACACCTCACACGCCCCTGGCAAGTCTGTTGCCGCATTCTCTTCCACGAGAAATGACACCAAGGTTGGAGGTACGCCAGTTTCTACTGGTGCAACGCCCATGGGCCGTGCTCCCAGCCAATTGGGACCCAAGCCTAGTTCTCCCGCCTCGAATCTGCAACTAACTCCTCGTACCTCTTCAGCTAAAGTGTCTACTTCATCTCCTCTCAAGCCGACAACTAGCAAGGACGACAAGAAAGAAGCGGTCAAGCCACTGGAACCCGCACCACCATCAATGGACGTGACGACGGTCGATCCATGGGCAAACAGTGCCCTTTCCCTCGAAACCATCCAGGACACATTCCTGGATCTTGGGGACGATGCCGGCCTAGGATTTGGAGCGATGGACGAGTTTCTCAATCCTGAGATGTTCACCAATTCTCAAGCCGAGGATACTCCAGACTCCGTTGAGACTGGTCTTATCACACAGACACCTAAGGACAACGATCTGCCAAAGAGTGCCGAAACTAATGGCAAAGTTGGCGAGATCGTGGACGAGAACTGGATACCTGTGGATTGGGTCAATCTTCCGGGCCGATTTGAGGATGGCCTTTTAGTGAACGACCCGTTCGAGGAGATCGATTGGGATATGATTGACCGTAAAGAGGCAGGCATGAATGTTGATGACAGTGGAATCGCAATCATCGCCATGTGATACGGTTCACCTTTTCTGTTATATCATGAGCGCAGTTAATGATTCGAGCAGGCGAATGGCGTGATGGTTCCTAAGTTTCTGCTGCATGAATAATGCAGGCTGGATGTACATTAACCGGAGCCAGGGTAATTGTCATTGGGATGATGGGCTGAGTTCTTCCTTCGATCTACATTTTGCCATCATTTTGCTTAGCCATGGCGTTGCGAGGAGCAATTGGGGGGGGGGGGGGGAAAGAAGAGTCTTTTCGCCCCGACAGCGAGGTGTCCTTAAGTTTTTGAGGGGAGGGGGAATTCTTGAGATTAGCAGCGAGCATGCTTATGCTATTATAACAAACCACAGTTTTTGGACATGACCGCATTTTATCAATCTTAGTATATGTAGTAGTTCGCGTTGGAGGTGGTCCTGAGGATGAGGACCTTGGTTAACTTAAGTCGATACCGTATAACTATTGTCATTCACAGTAACTTGACTCGTTACTAGTCTAATCACACAAACTGCAGATAAGTAGTTAGGCAATTACAGTTACTGGGTAACTGATTAGATAGTTAATTTAAGTTGGCTAACTTAACTAACTAGATTGATGACTGATTAAGTAAGGATCTTAGGATGGATCCCGTGATGTGGAGAGAGGGAGATCAGCTGCCGATAAGCTAAGCCAAGCTAAACCCAAAGTCAATGTCATTTGCCTCCCCCATCCATCCATCACATCATCTTTGTTTCGTCTCTTCCTCTTCTTTTACCCTTTTACATCACCCCTCTTCCTCCTCCCACCCCCCCATGATGAACTGTCAATAGACTAAACTGATTCCCACCAGATTAACTTCCAGGATTTTTTCCATACCTTCTATTCATATGCAACCCGGTCTCTTGCGCTCCTTGGTTTCCTTGGTTTCTTATCGCGCTCGGAAATAAACTGCCAATCTTCCTCGGCTGTCCGCTATAGCAGCAATCATGGCGACCAAGGCCACTGTGCCCTTTTTGGTCACGATGATGCTCGTGACCGGCGTTTGCAATACTATACTCAACAAGTATCAGGTTCGACGCTTCCGCTGATCTTGGTTTCGATAGTGGTTGACACTGGCTGGTAGGATATGCAATGTGTTCGGAATTGCGATTCTCCCGACCCAAAGTACCGCCACACCTTCGAGCAGCCAGTGATCCAGACGTATGTCACTTTTTTCTCCTTCTCTATCCACTCATTCACGATGCTCATATCGTCCCTCCATGGCAGGATCCAAATGTTCATCGGCGAGATGGGTAGTTGGCTTGTCGTATTGTTTTCGTACCTCTATCAGCGCTACGTTGCCCCTCGCTTATCCAGCAACTCCTCACCACTTCTCGCGGGTGGCTATCATCCTGTTCATCACGACGATAGTCTTGATGAAGAGGAGGAGGATTACACGATCCGAGGCCCTGACTATCCTCGCGACCCCACAAAGCCCAATGAATCACTCGATGGACGTATTCGTCTTCAAGGATGGCGGATCTTCCTCCTTGCAGCGCCGGCATGCTGTGACATCGCAGGTACCACTTTGATGAACGTTGGGCTGCTGTTTGTCGCCGCTAGTATCTACCAAATGACTCGAGGCGCCCTCGTCCTCTTCGTGGGTCTCTTCAGTGTGATCTTCCTCCATCGGAAACTTCACCTTTATCACTGGGCTGCACTGTTTGTGGTCGTTCTTGGCGTTGCGCTGGTCGGCCTTGCAGGCGCCCTCTTCGCTGATAGCCAGGGCCATGACTCGTCGCAGGAGAATGCAGCCGCAGTCGTTGCGCATGCGCTCAGAGAAGTGCAAGCCACTGCGCAAACCCCAGAAGCAGTGCAAACCCTCATTGGTGTGCTGCTCATCGCCGCCGCGCAGATTTTCACCGCTTCGCAGTTTGTGCTCGAGGAATGGATTCTAGAGCATTATGCTATGGATCCTCTTCAGGTCGTCGGCTGGGAGGGTATTTTTGGGTTCAGTGTCACTGTCATCGGCTCCATCATTATGTACTTGGCTGTCGGACGGACCGAGGCAGGCCGCTATGGCTACTTCGACGCAAAGGAAGGCTGGCGTCAAATCCTTCACAATCGGTTGATTGCTCTTTCCAGCGTCTTAATCATGATCAGCATCGGGTAAGCTTTCCCCTCATCAAAAGTCCCAAACCTCGATGACGCTCAACCTCTCTATCGTAGGGGCTACAACTTCTTCGGACTCTCCGTCACTCGCACCGTTTCGGCTACTTCTCGTAGTACCATCGACACCTGTCGTACTCTCTTCATCTGGCTCGTCTCGCTAGCCCTGGGCTGGGAAACCTTCAAGTGGCTTCAAGTGGCCGGGTTCGCCTTGCTCGTCTACGGAACGTTCCTTTTCAACGACATTGTCCGGCCCCCTCTCAAGGCGTGTCTTCCCCGTGACCGCCGTGAGAGATTGATCCTTCTCCCTGAGGAGCCGATCGAGCATATTTAGAAGTGTGCTATGGGGAGGATACCATCACATCATGCTACGTTGATTCTGGCTACTTCACTCGTGACCAAATATACTCAATGAGCTGGCCTAGAAGGTGTAGATCACCTTCCAACATCTTTTATGCTATTGCCATGCTTCTAGAAGCTCCTCTTGATTGTTACATCAGCAGAGCTATACAATTTCGGCTTGAGGCTTGTCCTGAAAAGCCCCATTGTCTTGTCTTGGCCTCGGAGTCATCATTGGTTGATTGGATTTTTTTTTATCGTTTTATGCTTTTCTTTTTGGAAAGGGGTAAATCAGCTCTTGGTCACGTTCCATTTGGTTTGTTTCTGGGCTGTTTGTATTGCAGGTGTCATCGCGATCACAGAACTGAGGGTTTTTTTATGCTGGTTCGGACTTTTTACCAGCAATCTGGTATAGACGACAATAAGATCGATGCACAGAATGGAAATAGATTCATCGCAATGCTCTCTCCTGACAATTGACATGCTTGTAATGAAGACTGGTTAGGGTGTAGTTTGTAAGGTTGGTGGCAAAAATCCTAGAAATCGTCTCTAGGGTTTACATCTATCATATGTCTCATCTACCTCTTATCCACGCTGTACTATACAGAGATCCGCATACAGAAATAATGATTGCTTGGTGGAATCCTCTAGACCTTTCGTTCAAACCCATTCGTTCATGATCAGGACTTGAAACGAGAAATGAAGATAGGAGTAGAGTGTGTGAACAGACAGGTAGTCCGACGTAATTGCTGCTGTACAAGCAACCTGAATTGTATCCATGAATATAACGGGGCTGAAGGGGACGAGGGTGAGCGACTCATGCAATAAGTGTGGCAGAACATATATAAGGGGCAATTGCTAACACATGAAAGAAAAGTAAGGGAGCTGGTTATCTGAATCAGATCGGACATAATATGGTATATATTGGGTGGTGTGGGTTATAGCGCCGGGGGATTATGGGCGAAATATGTGCGGGATGTAACGCAGGGTGGATGGAGGGTTGAGTCTATTCGGATGGGAGTCTGGGTGTTGTAGTATCGCATGACTTCAGACGAGGACGTAGAGCGCGCACATCTGGGAGGATTGTTTAATAATGTCGGACTGCAACTCGACAGAGTCTCTTTGCGGCGTGGCTAAAAGAGAAGAGGGACTTACCATGGACAAGCCGAGGATCATTGAGAGCCAGAAGAAGGAGTTCTGATGGGAAATTAGCGGGTTGAAGCGTGAGAATATGGCGTTCTTTTCATTTCTGAGGTGGGGAGGGGGATGGGGTTCGGCTGCACGTACATTGAGAATGGTTTTCCCCTTCAAATACTTGGACTGCTGGACCGCAACAATGGGCAGCTGCAGCATCATGGCGAGGAAGCCGTAGCCACGCAGCTTCTTGGTGATACAGCTCATGACCAATTCGTGAGCGATGGCGCTGACAAGGAAGGTGATGAACATGGCCACGGGCTTGGAGAAATTGGCGAGAGAGGGAAAGTATACATGGCGCCGGAGGAAGTGGTGCACGGGGATGTTCCACTCCCTGGAGAATTCCAGCCTGAGATTCGAAAACATCTGTCAGTATAGTTCACACCTGTAATCAAATCACTAGTCTGTGTTCGAAGGGGAAGAAGGGAAAGGGAAGCAACGCACCAGTCGCATGAGTTCCACCAATCCGAGTAGAAGTGACGGTCGGCAAAACAAGTCAGCTCTGCGAAAGCCCCCAGCACATATTCGAAGATTACAAGGAAGACAAGCAGGAAGGTAATCATGAAAGGGAAGAGAAGCATGCTGATGGTCTCCGCCATGATTAATGCCTTTTCGGTCATACTTGACACGGTGTGGAGCTGGACGTTGGCTTCACTCAAGACCGGAAGAATGAACTCCTCACTAGTCAGCGTCAGAAGGAAAATGCACCCAAAGATTGCCAGAGTCTTCAGGCCGATTTCGATCCAATCTCGGTCACTGTTCCGCGGGTATTCCAACTCGTAGCACAGGGTGGGACAGAAGATGAAATCCACATAGTTGAGGACCGTAAGGTTCTGTGGATATGTGACATTGCCCATCGGAGAGGTCAGCTCTGTGGCTAGGTCCTCGCGCAACTCTGCAATTGATTCTGACCGAGCATGTTGACTATGGCGCCGCGTTGCAGCATGTCGCCGAGGGGAGGCATCCGGATATGGCACCGGAGCCTCCATTGACACAGAACCCGGCTTATCGAGCGAGGACAAGCGACGCTCTGTCTCACTGAGATGGCCATTGTAGAAGGCATATGAATGTACTTTCATCAAAATGGTTAAGGTATGGAGAGTGAAGAATACTTGCGCGGTCCAGGTCCAGCGCATCATGAAAGGCCAACTAAAGCTCATTGTTAGCTCAATAAACCCTGGCCTAGACAATTCGCGGCATTTGCGACTTACTTGATCCACAGACATGCCCAGGCGGCTTCGAAGATACTTTGTAGAGCTATGCCTGCCCCTTTCCAGCGCAGGGCGCTTCCGCCGGCTCTGATCAAGCGATGGAGGGGTAGCACCGCAGCACTACTGACCACCATGGCCAGGTCACTTATACCCATAGACCACACATTCTCCGACAACAGACTCCAGACCCTCACTCTCAACGGGTAGCCAGTATCCTTGATGTTGCGAAGTGCCGTGGTGACGACCATGATGAACAATGCAATCCAAAAGAGGGTGTAGAAACCGCGAAAGTTCCGGTAGTCGCTCCTCGGGTCGAAATGAGATACTCGAGGCACATAGTCAATGGTATAAAATATTCGTGTCCGGGCTCGAGCTTGTTTTCTGGCGGTCGAGATCGAATGGAGTGAGGGCGGGGCATCTTCGGGGACAGGTGTTGAGTGGCCGCTGCAAGTCAATGATTGTTAGTCTCCGGAGAACCATACTTGGGATGAATGACTGGCTACCTTGACTCTAAGCTATCCAAAGAAGGAACGGATGTGGGATCTGTCGGTCTCTTTCCAGCCGCAATGACACGCGGCCGTAACAATGGGGAGCCATCCGCCGGCTGGATGGCGGAAGACATGTTGGTCGAATGGAATCAAGAACGAAAGAAAAGGGGATGAGACAGCTTCACATCGAACAGAGAGTGTGTGAGCGGGAAGGGGGATCAATGCGATTGATATAACTTATGCGACAGCAGTGTACGTAAGTGGATCTGGTCTTCTTGCCACGCATGTAATGGGCATACGACAAGTAGGTTGAACCAGAAGGGGGGAGGGGTTCAGTCAGACTAAACTAGAGACAACACAAAACACGCAGTTTTTAAGGCTGGCTCGTGCAGGGACCAACCGACCAAGGTCCAAAACGAATACGGAAGAAGATCCAGGGGGTGGTGTGGTGAGATAGTCAGACATCGGAGGTGTAGATCTGGAGTAGCATGCTTTTTAAAGCTCTATAAAAATGATCACCAACATGGATGCATCTCCTGCAGTAGTAGTCGACTGTGGCTGACTAGCGCAACATCATGGAGCTTGATACAGGGCAGTGAACGAATAAATGAATGGGAGAATTGATAATTGCTTCAAGACGTCATCGGGAGGTTTGTGGGAGCGGATGAGTGGAATCTCCGCATCTTCCGTGTTTCTTCCTCCGTGTTCCGGTGCCTGCGTGTTTGTCTGTTTGTCTGTTTGTCTGTCCAGATGATCGGTGATGTAATACGAGTACGCTCATTGTTGTTGTCGCCCCATTGATCAGGCATCAATAATATCACGTGCTAGAATACACGTGACTAGACGCGGACAAGAGCACGAGGCCCGCTAGTCCCAATCGGGGGAGAAAAGTGCCAAGACGGCCAAGTCGCAGGAGCGGGCGAGGCTCAACCCATCGCTGGAAACTGACTTGAACGACTTGGTTATCTTTATTGTTGCTACAACTCTCACTTTCTACCTTACTCGCCATCTACCTCCCCCTCCACCATTCGCCCCCCCCATTCTCCCTTCTAACCCACCTCCTCTGGGATTGCGCAGACTGGCTTCTTCGCTCTTTCCCTGTCCTTCCCTATTCTCTCCTATCCGGGCGACCTCCCCCGCCTTTCTCTTGCATTTCCCCGTAAGGGGTCCTTGTGCCCGCCATGGCATCCCGTACGTGGACGCAT